TTTGGGCCCTTGCATCCACATGGGAGACCTGGAAGAAGCTCCTGCCTTCAGCCTGGTCCAGCCCTGGCCATTGTGGCCACGTGCGGCATGAACCAGATGGCAGATCCTCTCTCTGCCTCTCTTCATCTCTGTTAACTCTTGCCTTTCAAATAAATAAATAAATTTGTTTTTTTCAAAATGAAAAAAAAGGATACACATGGTTGCAGCCCTATTACCTCTTTATTCAGTTATAAGTCTTACAAAAACAAAAATAAGAACAAAACACAAAAAAACCTCACTCTAAAAAGATGGGGTGGGGGGTGCTAAGGAGGAAAAGAAAGCTGAGGGTGAGTGGCAGAGGGAGGAAGGCTGCTGAAGTCTGCCAAGCTCACGAGGACTAACCCCTGTTATCACTGATGGCTTTCCATTTCCAGTTCCTTAAGCAACGCTGTCCCATGACTGAGGGTCGGGAATGATGCTGAGCATCTGGGTTTCTATCTACTCTCTAGGAAAGAAATATTTCCAAAGTTCAAGGAGTCCCAGAGTTGGTTCTCGTTTTCCAGAACCCCCCCCCCCCCAATCCTTTGAAGGCTTAGCATGCTGGCTCAATTGGCTAATCCTCTCCCTGCAAGCATCCATATGGATGCCAGTTCATGTCCTGGCAGCTCCACTTTCCATCCAGCTTCTGGCTTCAGATGGGCTCATCTCTGGTTGTTGTAGCCATCTGGGGAGTGAACCAGCATTTGGAAGACCTTTCTCTCTGTTTCTCCTTCTCTCTGTAAATCTGCCTTTCCAACAAAAATAAATTAAAAGGGCCTGCAGCGATAGCCTAGCTATTGCTAGTCGTTACCTTGCACTCACTGAGATCCCATATGGGCACCAGTTTTAATCCCAGCAGCCCTGCTTCCCATCCAGCTCCCTGCTTGTGGCTTGGGAAAGCAGTTGAGGATGGTCCAAAGCCTTGTAACCCTGCACCCACATGGGAGACCAGGAGGAGCTCCAGGCTCCTGGCTTCGGATTGGCTCAGCACCAGCCATTGTGGCCGCTCACTTGGGGAGTGAATCAATGAATGGAAGATCTTCCTCTGTCTCTCCTCCTCTCTGTGTGTCTGATTTTGCAATTAAAATTAAAAATCTTTAAAAAAAATAATAAATTTTTAAAAAGAATCCTTTGCGGCCTTCATGCTTCTGTAACATGTGCTTTTTCCCAGTCTCTTCCAGCCGCAGGTGGTCTGGGTGAGGGACGACAAAGGCAGAGGTTTTGTGGACAAGACTATCTGCTCCCTAAATGGCAGAGAAGCCTGGCGCTGAAGTCTCCATCCTTTGGCCAGTGCCCAGAATTTACAGGCAGCACCTGGCTCTCACATGACTGAGTTACAACTGCTCTCCATGGGTCAGCTATTGTGCTGGTGACTGCATGTGGTCCCCTTTTCCCATTGTCTTAGCTTCAACTTGATCATCCCTGTAATGGGAGCAGTTGCTGGTTAACATGGCGCCCTCAGGAGCCAGCCAATCCCTACCTCACATCGCATGCCACAGCCTCTTCAGGTTTAAACAGGACTGATACATAAACTCACAGGAGTCACAGTCTTTGTTTTCAAAGGTTTACTTTTATTCGAAAGACAGAATTTACAGAGAGGAGAGAAAGGATCTTCTAGTTGTTGGTTCACTCTCCAAATGGCCACAATGACCAGAGCTGAGTTGACCTGAAGCCAGGAGCCAGAACCTTTCTCTGGATCCAAGGAAGAAGTGGGTGTAGGGCTGCTTCACTTCCCTTCTAATGGTCTGGGAAAGCAGATGAGAATGACCCAAAGCCTTGGGAGTCTGCACCCATGTGGGAGACCTGAAGAGGCTCCTGGCTCCTGGTTTCAGATCAGCCCAGTTCTGGACATTGCGACTACTTGGGGAATAAACCAATGGATGGAAGATCTTTCTATCTCTCCTTCAGTCTAAATCTGACTTCCTTCCTTCCTTCCTTCCTTCCTTCCTTCCTTCCTTCCTTCCTTCCTTCCTTCCTTCTTTCTTTCTTTCTTTCTTTCTTTCTTTCTTTCTTTCTTTCTTTCTTTCTTTCTTTCTTTCTTTCTTTCTTTCCTTCCTTCTTGATTTATTTATTTATTGGAAAGTCAGTTATACAGAGAGGAGGAGAGACAGAGAGGAAGATCTTCTGTCCAATGACCAAGTGAGCACAACGGCTGATGCTATCTATGCTGGTCCGAAGCCAGGAGCCAGGAACTTCTTTCGGGTCCCCCACGTGGGCGCAGGGTCCCAAAGCTTTGGGCTGTCCTCAACTGCTTTCCCAGGCCACAAGCAGGGAGCTGGATGGGAACAGGGGCTGCTGGGATTAGAACCAGTGCCCATATGGGATCCCGGCGCGTTCAAGACGAGGACTTTAGCCGCTAGGCCATGCTGCCGGGCCCTAAATCTGACTTTCCGTCCACTAAAAATAAATTTTTAAAAATGAGTTCTCTTAAAGCAAACACACTCGGAGTGCAAGGACTTGAATCATCCTTTACTAGGTTTTCAGGCCATAATCAGGGAGTGGATGGAAAGTAGAGCAGCCAGGACATAAATTGGCCCCCATATGGGATGCTGGTGCCTTCGGAAGCTGAGGTTTAGCCTACTACACCATGGTGCCAGCCTTCATACATGGTCTCCTGTTGGCCCTGAGGGGCTATGTGGGTTCTTAGTCCACATCCTATATCCTCACTGGCTCTGCTCACCTCATTATGTGATCACACTTCATCCAGGTCCCCAATCTGAAATACACTGTTTGACAACACCAGGTTTGGCTCTTGGATAAACACTGCTTTAGTTGCAGCAGAGGCTTGATTCTGGCATCCAAAATTAGAATAATTTATTATAACAGTATGCTTTGGCTACACAGAGCTTAAAAGATGCGCATATGTAACACTGCTTGCATATGGAACAATGTTTCGGCTATCCAGTTTACCAACTATTCATTTGTAACATTGTTCTTATGCTTTGGGTATACACAGTTTATGAACTCTTCATAAATAACACTGTTTCTATGGCATATGTAACACTGTTCCAGTCGTCTTCAAGTGAATCCAGGCCATTTCCCACACTTGCCTCTGAAGTCTAACACTTAAGACACACAGTCCAGGAATTTAATTTTCCAAATTCAAGAAGACCTTGGTAACAATCACAAGGTTGGCACCAATGAAATTAGTACCTTTATTCCTTGTTCTCTGAAGACTAACCCTCGCGGTCATGGCCACACGAGTCTACTCTTTGCATGATCCTATATATTTGTCTTCACTGTCTTTGTCAAACGGTATTGAAAATAACAAAAGGTATGTTCATACTCTAAGTTTTAACTATTTCTGCCTCAGAAATAATTTGTTCTAACTTCTAATTCCATTTTCATCCCGAGAATTGAGATAGGGTGACAGATTTATTTTTTTCTTTTTATTGTTAATTAAAACTAATTTTATTTTTTACTTATTTTTACATGAGAATCAGAGTTAGAGAGAGACAGAGAATGAATCATCTGCTGGCTCAATCCCCAAATGGCCACAATGACCAGAGCTGAGCCAAGAGCCAGAGCTACTTCCAGGTCTCCCACGTGCACAGGTACCCAAGGACTTGAGCCAACTTGCTCTTTCTTAGGCCACATGCAGGAAACTGGATTGGAAGTGCAGCTGCCAGGATGAAAACTGACACCCAGATAGAATTCTGGTATTGCAGCACTAGCCTGATACACCAACATGCTGGCCGCATGAATTTGGGTTTTAAAAGTGTGTAGGTTTAGGAGATACTGGACATGTAATACCAGCGGCCTAAGTCTCTGTGAGTGTAGGGGTCCAAGGACCACAGCCATCTTCCTCTGATTTTCCAGGCCATCAGCAGGGAGGTAGACTGGAAGAGCAGCAGCTGGGACTCAAATCGGCATCTATCACGGTGCAAAGCCACACATTACTGACATATTTAGTCAGCCTTTCAATTTGTTCCCAATTACCACCCCTTACCTCTCTCTCCCCATATCTGAGAAGCAGAAGTATCAATTTTTTTTTAAGATTTTATTTTTATGGCAAAGTCACAAATACAGAGAGCAGGAAAGACAGAGAGGAAGATCTGTCCAATGATTCACTCTCCAAGTGAGCGCAATGACCAGTGCTGCGCCGATCCAAAGCCAGGAGCCAGGAACTTCTTCCAGGTCTCCCACATAGGTACAGGGTCCCAAGGCTTTGGGTCATGCTTGACTGCTTTCCCAGGCCACAAGCAGGAAGCTGGATGGGAAGTGGAGCTGCCGAGATTAGAACCGGTGCCCCTATGGGATCCCAGCCTGTTCAATGTGAGGACTTTAGCTGCTAGGCCATCGCACTGGGCCCAGAAGTACCCATTTGTTACATTACCTGAACAGCCTACCCACAGCTCAGTGACTGATGTAAGAGAAGCGAGCACAACACTGTCTTGGGCCCGGCATGGTGACCTAGTGGCTAAATCCTCGCCTTGCATGTGCCGGGATCCCATATGGACACCAGTCTGTGTACCAGCTGCTCCGCTTCCCATCCAGCTCCCTGCCTCTGGCCTGGGAAAGCAGTTGAGGATGGCCCAAAGTCTTGGGATCCCATACCGAACTGGGAAACCCAGAAGAATCTCCTGGCTTTGGATCAGTTGAGTTCCAGCTACTGCGGTCACTTGGGGAGTGAACCAGCAATGGAAGATCTTTCTTTTTCTCTCTGTAAAAATCTGACTTTCTAATGAAAAACAAACAAGATTTTGCACTATAGCAAGTCAGTATAAGGAGTTAGGACTTGGCTAAAACCGGTCACTCTCCTTGACAATAACTGTGGGTTTGCACACGCAAGAGCGGTCAACCTGGGGCCCTCTGCCACTTGTGGCACACAGACACACGTATACATACTGTTGTGCCAAGGGCCTGCTGCATGGGAGCGGTGGACAGCGACGTCCCATTCCAGCACCCACTGGGTGACTGGTTCTTTAACTGGCCTAAACCCCAAGGCCCGGCTTTCTTCCCGAAGGTACAGGAATCAATTCTCCACTGTCAAGATGCCTTTATTTTTTCAAATCCAAGTGACAGGCAGTACAACTCAGTATAAATGACCAATTAAGCATATAAAAATCACATGAGAAAGAAAATGAAAATTAAAATAATAAGATATATATATATATATATATTTTTTCTGGTTAAAGTGGGAAAGCATTAAAAAAAAGACAATAAATACCCAGTGTTAGTAAAGGGTTCAGAGAATCAAGTACTGGGCACGGGGGAAGGGTGCAGTCCAGGGGTGATCTGTGGCATACATGGTAGAGACGCTGAACAGGCAGTCCTGGGGCTCTACCTAGCACCGCACCCCTAGGAGCCGACTGGAACGAGGGTGCAGATTCAGGTACCAGGCTGCTCGGGACACTGCTGTCTGCTAAGAAACCGGAAGCCACCAAGGATTGTGAAATAAGTTGCGGGAGCACACAGGAACATTGGCCACACTGATGCCTGCCTGAGGGATTATGGACAAGTTACAGAGACCAGTGGCAGGGTTTCCAGTGTGTTTGAGGACATGCTGGATGTGTTTCTGCAGACATACACACTGCAGCCTTCAGAGGTGTGCACTCTGCACCTCACGGCTCAAGTTTGTCTGCAATGAACACGTACAACTTTTGTGATTACAAAGGGAAAGATGAACATGTATAACTTTTGTGATTACAAAAGGAAAGTTTGAGCTTGATTCCAAGAAATGCTTAGCTTGTGTTTCAGTTTGTCAGGCGGCGGGGAAGGTGAGGGGAGGGTGCAGACAACCACTTGGTGTTTGCTCCTCCAACCTGAGATGTTGTTCTGCAGCTGCGAACAACATGGCTACCGGGTAGGAGCCAGAGTTCTCTCCTCCCCTGGAGCTCTGAGGTGCTGGAGTGGGGGCTGTAGAACTGGTCAGGCTCTGTTCCCAGGGGAGTGGGGAGCCCCTCGGAAGCTCTGAGGGCAGAGGAAGGATGAAGTGGGCAAAAGGAGGGAGCAGAGCCCGGGGTCGCACTCAGTCCTGGCTTCCAGCTCAAGCCTTGTGGACCTGAGAGGGCTGTGAGTCTGCTGGTCCACATCCTTGCTGGGGGGTGGGAAAGACAGGCCAGCTGCGGTGGAACTGAGGGCAACGGTTGGAGCACGCCCATGGCTAGGCAGCTGTGGTGTCTGACAGCACACTTGTGTTCTCGGGTGGTCCAGAGATTCCAGCTGAATTGAGATGCAGTCTGGTGGGTTTGGTGAATGATGGTGTCCCCTGCTACTGAACCCGTCTTTCCTGGGATCAGGAGAAAAAAGGTACCGACCAGATGACACAAGCTTACACAGTCACCTGTAGTTTGGCATGGCCTAGTTAAATCCCACACCCCCACCGGTGGCCTGGAGACACAGGCAAACAGCTGGGGCTGAGCAGTCCTCAGGGTGCCTGCTCAGGTTGTAGGGAGAAGAGACAGTCTGTAGAGGACGCCCTAGCAAGTGGAAGGGTAAGCGTCACGTGTGCATGATCAAACGCTGCAGATGCCTCACTGAGGCACGTCACCTGGAGTGTCCCTCCTGAAAGGCTTAGACGCTTGCATCTGTGAATGTTCCAGAACATAAACTACTGTAGACAGGTGGTCAGGCTTACAACAAAGTTCCTCTCCAATCAGCGAGGGCTTTCTTGAGATAGAAACAGGTGGGGTTTTAAACACTAGCACGTGAGCACCTTTGGTTACATGTTGCTGAGGATGCTTATGTACAGCAGACAAAACAAGGAGGGAGGGAGGTCAAGCAGGGCGAAGGCAGAAAGGTGGGGCAGGGGGCTTGGGTGGTGCTGAGACAGGATCTCTGCAAGGACGAGGCAGGGAGGGCACGCGGTAGACTCAGCAGGATGCATGCACCTGAGGCTTCCAGGAAGCGGTGACCCTTCCTTCGGTGTGTGGAAGTGGGGCCAGCAGCTGCATGAGGAGAGAAGGCAGCAGACATGACACCAGGTCCACTGCCAGTTCCCACGAGGAGCAACTTTCACGGCTGGGGTACAGCTGAGTCTCCGCCCCTCCGTCACTCATGGGAAACCCGCTCCAAGGCCACATAGAAGCTGTTCTTGTCATCGAGGCAGTGCCAGCCGATTGGTCCGATTTCACAGTCCGCGCAGACCAGGAACTTGATGTTGCCCACGTCCTTGGTGAAGCCCACATTCTCAAACATGAACATGTCCTCAACCAGCCAGTGCTCCTGCAGGAGGTCTCCCTCGGGGTCACTGCCCTCAGCCAGCGCTGGCTTCTTCCTCATGGAGGGTAGGAAGAGCTGCAAGGGAGAGAGCGAGAAGAGAGCTGGGCTGGCCGGGCACCGTCACTGCCGCCCGCCCCAACTCTGCTCTGCCATTTGGAATGGGCCACGGAAAGGGACCTGCTAGTGAAGTTGCCAGAAGACCAGCTTGTTGTTGCTGCTGGTCCTCAAGAGAGGCAGCAGCTGGCCGATGTGGTCACCTGGCCTCCAGCTGCCTCACCATGGCCCATGTGGTGCGATGGATGCTCTGATAGGCATTCGTTGCACTGCACCACACCGCACAAGTCTGCTTTGCCCTCGGTTTTTTTTTTTTTTTAAATAAATATATTGACTTGTTTGAAAGGCAGAGTTACACACAGAGAGAAAAGACAGATCCAAATGACTGCAACAGCTGGGGGTGAGCCAGGCCAAATCCAGAAGCCAAGGAACTCCATCCAGGTCGGCCACGTGGGCGGCAGGGACCCCAGCACTGCGGCCTAGTCCACTGTCTCCCCAGTCACCTAAGCAGGGAGCTTGGTGGGAAGCTGAGCAGGACCCAACGGACATGCCAACATGGGCTGCTGGTGTTGGCAAGCGGAAGCTTAACATGCTGCATCTCAACACCAGTTCCTGCCGTCAACTCTGGGCACAACCAGCCCAGATTACCTCATCAGCAGGATTTCTCTAACCCAGCCAGTGCAATGAGCTCTTCCTACTGTATGCTTGTCCCCTTACCAGGCTTTACTGAAATACACCTAGCAACTAAGCCATGCATGCTCAGGGTGCATAGCTCAGTACATGCAGACACACACATGCGGTGAACTTGGTACTGTAATGACGATAATGCACACGGCATCACCTCTACGACCTCAGGCCACGCCCATTGCTTTACTCATTTCTGACATGACTGTAAGGAGTTGGTGCCCCTGCCAGAGGGCTCCTTTACCTAGAGATGCAGCTCCTGAGAGCAGGGAGCTGCCTTCCCTGGGTTACTTCTACATCACCTACAATAGAATCTGGATTGTAGCTGGCAGTGCCAACATCCCATATGGGCACTGGTTCATATTCTAGCTTCTTCACTACCAATCCAGCTTCCTGCTTATGGCTTGGGAAAGCAGTAGATGATGGCCTAAGTTCTTGGGATCCTGCACCCACATGTGAGACGTGGAGGAACTCAGATCAATTCAAATCTAGTTATTACAGGCATTTGAGGAAGTAACCCAGAAGGTGGAAGAATCTGTCCCTCCCTTTTCTCTGCAAAACTGTCTTTTTGAGTCAAAACAATTTTTTAAAAAGATTTATTTTCATTACAAAGTCAGATATACAGAGAGGAGGAAAGACAGAGAGGAAGATCTTCTGACCGATGGTTTACTCTCCAAGTGACTGCAACGGCTGGAGCTGAGCCACTCCGAAGCCAGGAGTCTCTTTGGGGTGAGTACAGGGTCCCAGGGCTTTGGGCTGTCCTTGACTGCTGTCCCAGGCCACAAACAAGGAGCTAGATGGGAAGCAGGACTTCCAGGATTAGAAATGGCAATCATATGGGATCCCAGCGCGTGTAAGGCACTACACTATTGCGCCAGGCCCATAAAAACAATTTTTTAAATAGAATCTGAAAGACCTGGTATGGCAGCTAGAGGCTAAAGCCCTTGCCTTGCATGTGCTGTGGAAGATCTTTCTCTGTGTTTCCTCTTCTCTCTGTAAATCTGTCTTTTTAGTAAAAATAAATACATTTTTTTTAAGATTTTATTTTTATTGCAAAGCTAGATATACAGAGAGGATGAGAGACAGAGAGAAAGATCTTCCGTCCAATGATTCACTCCCCAAGCAGCCACAACGGCTGGTGCTGAGCCAATCCAAAGCCAGGAGCCAGAAACCTCCTCCAGGTCTCCCACATGGGTGCAGGGTCCAAAGACCTTGGGCCGTCTTCCATTGCTTTCCCAGCCACAAGCAGGGAACCGGAAATGATGTGGAGCTGCTGGGATTAGAACCAGTGCCCATATGGGATCCTGGCGTTTTCAAGGCGAGGACTTTAGCCGCTTCCCCAAAATAAATAAATTAAAAAAAAAAAAACCTGGGTCAGGAAGAACTGGCAGAAAACACAACTATTTGTTGCGAACAAAAAAACAGGCTGTCTAGTTCATCAGTGTTAGGAATAAACTCACTGCAGCTTACAACAAGGAGAATCTCATTTATCTCATTTGTCAGTGTCAATGTGGAGTGTCAAACCCAAGGATCCTCGCGCCCTCCGTCACAGACAGCTACTGATACACAACTGCTTTATTTCCCTAGTGGTCAAGGACACGCTCACAGCCGCTCCAGACCACTGCAAAATACACCTGTGAGGATATGAGTCCTGAGCTCCTGGCCGTGGCCACTGTCCCGTCACTGACCTCCTGCCTTGTGACCCATTTTTCACGCCTCTCAGACTCTAAAAGTGACCTGGTTTCACAGAAGGGCCTCCTCAGACTGGCCTGGCACAGCAATGTTGAAAGCAATTTACAAACTGGATTGACAGCCTAAGGAAAGCGGAAGCTGGGAGGGAGGCAGCAGATGAGGGACTCCAGCACCCACCTCCCGCCCCTCTCCCTCCTCAGACCCAGCTGGAGTTGCGTGGCTCTGGCCAGGCCCAACCTCAGTTCTTGTGGGCATCTTGGGGAGTGAACCAGTGGACAGAAGCTCTCTGTTTTGGAACTCACTCAGAAAAAGGAAAAGAAGCTGCCCTTGGTCAATGCCCTCTGCTATAGATTCAGCTGCTGTTTGTGTTTGGTGCCTGGATAGGCAGCCAGGTCTGCCTTCAGCATCTGCTCACCAGGGACTCCTCCTTGCCCTCTGTCTCCACCGGAACCACGCTCTTGCTGAGGACACGACTACTGCCCGCTCTCCACGGGATCTGGAGTGGGAGCCGGGGGCGGGAGGGCCTCCAGCTCCCTAATGACCACTCCTGTCTCCTCTCACACCCCGGACTCCTCATCTGGGCAAGCTCCAGCTGCTCCTCCCCTCCTCCAAGCACCTGGCTCGGCTCTCCTGCTGGGCTCCCATCCTGTCCCATTTCTGGCGATTATCTCCTGCCCCAACCTCCCTGCTAGTCTCTCTTCTACACCAGATATCAGGCCAGGCTGAACCTCTTGGTTCTCCAGCTGGGCCATACTTTCTCACAATGCTGAAACCTCACCCTGCCTTTCCTGGGTTTGCCTGCAATTTCCTCCACCACAAACTCCAGCTGAGATGCAGTGGGTGAAACCAACAGCCTGTGACCTGAGCATGCCATCCAAGCTCCAGTTCAAGTCCTGACTGTTCCACTTCCAATTCATCTCCCTGCTAATGAGCCTGGGAAAGCAGCAGAAGATGGCCCAAGTGCTTGGGCCCCTGCACCAACATAGGAGACTAGGATGGGATACCTGGCTCTGGCTTCATCCAGCCCCAGGTGTTGTGGCCATTTGGGAAGTGATAGCACATAAAAGATCTCTCTTTTTTCTTTTCCAGTTTCTGTAACTCAATCAAGTAGATAGCAAATTTTGCAAAAAAAAAAAAAAAAAAAAAAATTATGAGAAGCGCTGACTCCAAGGAAATGAATACTATACTTGAAACCTATCATGCAACATAAAAAGGACACAGATCACACACTGACTGCAGTGCAATAAAATCTATTGGTCTGCTGGAGCCATGGCAACCCAATATTTACACTGTGGACTCACAGCTTTCATTTGCAGTCTGTCTAAATCCACCTAAGTTCTCATGTCCGTGCAGCCCAGGTGGACAGGGCACAGGAAATATCACTAAACACTCCAGTGATCCCCTGTGGTCAGCTGGGATGAGGGCAGTGTGTGTTCTGCAGTCTGTAGGCTGGGGTTTGTCTACTTGGGAGCTGCCGACACTGGGGGCTGGAGAATTCTCTGCTATGGGCAACTGCCCTGTGCAGCGCAGGACGCTGGGGGCATTCCTGGCTCCACATCCTTGATGCTGGCAGCATCCACTAGACTGTTTCACCGACTTGAAAGTCAGAGGGAGAGACAACTAGGAAAAAAAGAGAGACTTCCACCTGCTGGTTCACTCAGCTGCCCTCAACGGCAAGGGCTAGACAAGACTGAAGCCAGAAGCCCAGAGCTCCAACCAGGTCTTCCACAAAGGGGGAGCGGCTCAAGCACGTACACCTGCTGCCTTCCAGGATGCCTTAACAGAACTTGAACCTGAACCAATACGGGATGAGAGTGTCCCAGATGGTTGGGCCTGCTGCCCTAGTACTTAAGTGCTTTCTTCTAAAAAGATTTATTTATTTTGATTGGAAAGACAGATTTATGGAGATAAGGAGAGATAGCAAGAAAGATCTTCCATCCACTAGTTCACTCTGTGAGTAGCTACAACAGCTGGAGCTGAGCCAATCCGAAGCCAGGAGCCAGGAGCTTGTTCTGGGTCTCCCACATGGGTGCAGAGTCCCAAGGCTTGTGGCCCATCCCAGGCCACAAGCAGGGAACTGGATGGGAAGTGGAGCAGCCAGGACACAAACCGGTGCCCATATGGGATCCTGGCATGTGCAAGGTGAGGATGTAGCCACTAGGTTATTGTGCCGGGCCCATATTTGTGCTTTCACACCAATCCTCTCCTTCATCTTCACCTTGCAGAATGAGTAACCTGCAGCCCACAGGCCTCGAGGAGACCAGGGCTCCGTCCTGTGCTGCTTGAACTCCAAGAGCAGCACTCTTTCCAGTCTGTGGTAACCACTGACTTGGCCAGAGAACTCGACTTTCCATCCTTGGAGAGCTTACCAAGAACAGAAGGTGCCCCCTTATCCTCTTTCCTAGAAGCCACCACTACCCACCAGGACAAAGACGATGCAGTTCTTTTGGCTCTCATACTGGACCTAAAATAAAGCAACGACTTGAATGTTTTCAGAAGTAACTTTATACCCCACTGCCAGCAGCAGTGCTGTGGTGACACCCTCCCAGCTGCTCTCAGCTTCCAATCCAGCTCCCTGCCAGTCCTCGTAAGCAGCAGAGGATGGTCCAAAGCGCCTGGGCGCCTGCACCCATGTAACAGCCCCAGGCGGAGACCCTGAGCAGCCTGGCCCAGTTCTGGACATTACTACCACTGGGGAGTGCACCAGCAGATGGAAGATCTCTGTCACTGTTTCCAATAAATAGATCGTACAAAAAATAATTGTAAGGAACATGGCTGACATGACATTTTGCACTTTCCTGTGAGTAAACTAAAAAGAGCAAAGTAAATTTTTTCCGATATTCTCAGTTGGGGTGATGGTGGTGAAGAGGGCAGCGCTAAGACGTCCCTCCTGCGCACGGACCAACATCCTCGCAACGCGTGTAGCGCTGGCCGGGGCCCGGAAGCCACCGGAGGGCCCGGCTGGAATCCAGGGAGGCCTCGGTGGCCAGCTCTCCCGGGGAGGCGTGGCCTGGAGCCAGGGGCGGGGCCCAGTGGGCGGGTCCTATTTCGGGGCGGGGCTTACACGGCGCGGGGCGGGACGCGGTCTCCGGAAATCCCAGAGCCAGTAACAAGACTCCGGCCGCTTCGGCCACCAAGGGAAGGGCGTGCGGCTGTGGACGCTTCCAACGTGCCTCCCTACCTGTCGGCGGGAGAAGAGAGCGGTTCCTGGCTGCAGCACCCGGGAGCCACAACGCTGGCACAGCACCGCCTTCCGGTTTCGGCCCTCGGGTGACACTAACTCGCTCAGCTGCTCCGCGGGTTCCATCGCCGCTGCCGCCACAGCCTGTGCCCCGATTGCGCAGGCGCCGTCCCCGCTTGGTCTTCCGGACTGCGCGGGCGCAGGGGCGGGGCCGGCCACGCCCACCGCGTCGGCCTCGCTTGGCCGCACCGGCCACCACTGCGCAAGCGCGGTCACTGCCTGCTGGCGTGGGGGTCGGCCAGGCTTTGTGACAGGGTCAGTCCTCTCTCTTGGCCATCTGACCACCGGACTTCCCTTATTATTAAGACCTAGTAAGCCGTTCAGGATGACCTTCACTCTTGAGACTTGAATTGAGCCTCGGAGTGAATTGGGGACTTTACTGGGGATCTTATGAAAGAATCTGAGGCCAACTCAACTGCATTAGCTTCTTAAGGAGACGAAGAGTGGATCTTGGCGGATATGCCTGGCCTCTGGTCTAACGATAGTGACCATTTACTATACGGAGCATCATGCGCTATGTGATTAGGAACTTGTTGAACTATCACAAGTTTTCTGCAGTGCTAGCGATCTTATCCCGAATATACAAGGCAGGTTAAGCTCAGCAAGGGCCCAGACGCAACCCTGGAGCCACGGCTCCCCAAGTACTAACAGCGTTCTTTCTCATTCCATCTGATTGGTCGTCACACCCCCAGTTGTTCCAGTGCAGCAGGTCGTGGCTTTCCTCAAAGGCACACAGGAGCAGCATATGAGGGCAAGCTAAGTACTGGGATCCCCATGTAATTGAACCAAAACTCCCATTTGCACGTTTTCCTCTGAATTCCGTGGTAACACACACAGCCTCGTGGGCAGACTCTGCCTAGCGGCATGTGACAATCAATGAGTAGCTCTGTCAGGGCAATTAAAAAGGGCTTTACCAAGGTGACATCTGAATTAGGTATCAGGAAGAGGAGGATTGAAGAAAAGCAGCATCTTTCACAAGTACAGTACATGATGAACCAAGGTGAGATTTAGGAATGGCTAGACCATTGTGCCTAAAGCACATTTCACTTGGAAGGAAAAGCAACATCAGAAAGGCAGACTGGGTCTAACTCACCATGCGGCCAAAGCCTTGTAAAGTAATCTGAACTTTATGATGTGGGCAATGAAAATACATGGAATTTTGGGCTAGAATTGTGCATGTTTACTGAACATCTATATTTCTCAAATTATTTATATTTTAATTTATTTTTTAATGGAAAGTCAGATTTACTGAGAGACGAAGGCATAGAAAGATCTTTCATCTGATGGTTCACTCCCCAAGTAGCTGCAGCAGCTGGAGCTGAGCCAATCCGAAGACAGGAGCCAGGAGCTCTTTCTGGGTCCCAAGGCCCTGGGCTATCAGCTGCTTTCTCGGGCCACAAGCAGGAAGCTGGGAGTAGAGTGGCCGGGATACAAACAGGCACCCATACGGGATCCCTGCACAAGGCAAGGACTTTAGCCACTAGGCTACCATGCTGGGCCCCATGAAATAATTTTTAAAGACTTACTTTTATTGGAAAGCCAGATTTTATGTAGAAGAGACAGAAAGGCCTTTCACCCACTGGTTCATTTCCTAAATGGCTGGTACTGAGCTGGAACCAAAGCCAGGAACCAGGAGGCTTCCTCCAGGTCTCCCACACGGGTGCAGGGTATCAACGGTTTGGGTCATCCTCCACTGCTTTCCCAGGCCAAAAGCAGGAAGCTGGATGGGAAGTGCACCAGCCTGGACTAGAACCCATATGAAATGCCAGTGCTTCAAGGTGGATTATCCTGATGAGACACAATACCAGACTCTCTCTAAAATAATTTTTGTGAAGATTTCAAAAGGAGATTAAGAGAAAGATTTTCCCTCTGCTGGTTTCACTCCTCAAATGCCCACTGGTCTAGGGGTCCAGAACTCCATCTGGGCTTCCATGTCAGTGGTGAGGTCCCAAGTACCCGGGCCATCCACTACTTCCTCAGGCACGTTAGATTAAAAGTGCAGCCAGCCAGGACCAGAACTAGTGCTCTGATATGGGATGCTGACATTGCAGATGGCAGCTCAGTTGGCAATGCCAGCCCCTGAATAATTTTTTTTAAAGATTTATTTTTATTACAAAGTCAGATATACAGAGAGGAGGAGAGACAGAGAGGAAGATTTTCCATCCGATGATTCATTCCCCAAGTGACCACAACGGCCAGTGCTGTGCCGATTTCAAGCTGGGAACCAGGAACTTCCTCCGAGTCTTCCACACGGGTGCAGGGTCCCAAGGCTTTGGGCAGTCCTCGACTGCTTTCCCAGGCCACAAGCAGGGAGCTGGATGGGAAGTGGAGCTGCCGGAATTAGAACTGGTGCTCATATGGGATCCTGGTGAGTTCAAGGCGAGGACTTTAGCCGCTGGGCCCTGAATAATCTTTTTAAAATTTATTGGAATGGCAAAATGACCCTCACATGTTCACAGTGAAAAGGAGAAATTCACAGCCAGTGCCGGGCTAGGCTGAAGCCAGGAGCCTGACACTCCATGGAAGTCTTCCGTGTATGGCAGGAACTTGAGTACTGAATCATCATCGGCTACCTCCCACGGTGCATGCAAGTAGGAAGATGGATTGAAGCAGAGGCAGGAATTGATCCCAGGCAATGATATGGGATGTGGGTGTCCCAAGTGGTAGCTTAACCTGCTATACCACACTGCCTGAGCAGGGTGTGAGGAGGCTAATTTGAGTCCAGCCCACAGATAAAGGCCTGAACTGTTTAAAAACATAAGGACTGGGCCCGGCATGGTGGCCTAGTGGCTAAAGTCCTTGCCTTGAATGCACTGGGATCCCATATGGGTGCCACTTGTAATCCCAGCAGCCCCACTTCCCATCCAGCTCCCTGCTTGTGGCCTGGGAAAGCAGTCGAGGATGGCCCAAAACCTTGGGACCCTATACCTGTGGGGAAGATCTGGAGGAAGTTCCTGGCTCCTGGCTTTGGATTGGTGCAGCACTGGCCATTGCGCTCACTTGGGGAGCGAATCATTGGACAGAGGATCTTCCTCTGTACATCTGACTTTGTAATAAGAATAAATAAATCTTCACAAAAAATAAAAGCGTAAGGACTGAAGACTGAAGACATGGCGATGATTAGGACTTAGAGACTTATTAGATGCCTGTGTTGTCAGGGGGATGACACAGATAAACAATAGCTTTCCTGGGAGAGGTAACTAAGTGGTTGCCTGCTGTGTGGCTGGAAAAACAGAAGCAAGCACCAAATCGGGAATCTGTGCGCACATGACGGTGCCCAAGAAGGGAACAGAGAAAGTGGCAATGAGTTTTCTATGGTGATTTTGCTGCAAAATACTGTGGTTGCAGATTGCAACTGCTTACAAATTTGGCCTGAATCTCAGAATTGGCACTGAGCACAGCCTGGGGGCTCTCTCTGCACCCCACTGCTTCAGTCTGCCCTGGCTCTTTTCCAGAGGGAGAAGGAATCCTGCGTGCTGCAGGCACACTCCGCTGTTACAGGGAGACTGGCAGGCTTCGGCAGTGGGGGCTGCTCCTGCTCTCTGCTGTGAGAGCATTTCTGCAGTCTCGCTGCAGGCCTTCTCCGGGACAGCTGTCTATGTCACAAGCCGTACGTCGAAGTAAACAGAAAAAAAGATTAGATTAATGGACACTCTACAATTCAAATAGGTGCTAAATGAGCTTAAGATTCCCTCTTTGACATTTTCTTTGCTTTTCCAGTCAATTCCATGTGCAAGAGGAGCCAGTGAATACAGCACGTTCAGACAAATGTGATGAGAATCTCCACGATGGTGAAGTGGCTCTCTTACCTGCAGCTAGGAGTGGAGTAGGGGAGCAAATGCTCCAGGGGAACAGACTGAAGAGGTGGGACCTTCAGTTGACTCCCATGCCTGGGCCCCAAAGCACCTGCTGAAGGCAGGGCTGATACGCCATACTCTCTTAGAGTCATTGACACAGTTGCTTTTTAATATTTTCTTAAAAAAATACAAAGGAAATAAACTCTGTAGGTCAATACAACTTAAAGAGGAATACAAATGGAACTTCAAAGCCAAGCACAAGTGCATCCTTGCTTAGGCTATCATGTCCCCATACTCACAATACCATAATTAAGTACTGTACCCCACAATACAGAGGATCTTTAAAAGGTGGCTCTGAAATGATGACAACAGAGGTACTGAAACTAATAAAATAATTTGTCCTGGGATGAATGAAGTCCACTCTAAGGACAGGTAAGGGAAACTCATAGCAGAAAAAGGATCAAAGGAAAAATGTACCAAACACAGCAGTAAAATCCATCCCCTGGCAGAAGTGTGCTCTTTGAAAGAATGGGGAAGTAATTGGCTGCTCAATGACGAGGTTACCACCCTTCCTAAATAAATAGTGTGGAAGTGTGAGTGTAGTAGTATTTGATTGAACAAAGAGTCTTTGACCCATTCAAGACAAACACCGCCATGGCTGGGTGAGCCCTAGCAGGACATAAGACGATTGTGAAATCACAAGCACTTCTAGTTTACCCCCAGGTATACAGAATTCCCATGTTTAAGCCATTTCTTCTCATCTCAACAACTTGTTTATTCTGTTACTGTTTCTAGTGCCGAGATGCTAACACTCTACTGTAGAAAGACCTTAAGCAAATAAGAAAGTCCTTCTAAAATGACATGTTCCTCTCAGGTTTCTGGTTCTACTTAGTGGTGTCATGAGTTCACACAGTCCACTGAACTCAATTTACTTCACTTCCTCTGACTCAATTCTGATACAGCAATCCTGCTACATGTCAGAGTGTGCCAGGCAGTCCCTCGCTTGGACCCCCAAAGTTTGGAACTTGCTGTCCATGGCTACCTGGAGATTAGAAAAGATACTTGCCCTGGGGGAAAAGCAACTTGGATTTTGCCACGCTTCCTCAAGTCAGTACCCTTCCTATGATCTAGGCTGTACACTGTGCATATCTAGTCGGCCATACTCGCCTCATCTCTGCAATAAACGAGGCACAACATCTATATATGTATATTCTCCCAAGCACATGGCAAGTTAGAAACGACAAATGCTCTTCAGTCCAGAGAGGGGGTGATCTGGTCGCATGTGCATACAAGGTAAACCTCTTCCCTTGACCATCTGTCACCCACCCTTCTGAGGGACAACCACCAGCGTGAGAGGGGTGGGCATCACAAATAAGTACAATCATCACTGCACTGGTGCCTGTAATCACCCTGTTCAGACAGTGAGAACCAGACATTCTGGAAAGGATCCTTGATGCTCCCTCAAACTTCCTTGGATTGGCTGCCAGCTCTGGCTGCTGCTCTGACAGCAGTCACTTCTCTCGGAGGACACACACCCCAGCATCACAGCGCTGGGTTCCCATGGATGTCACCACTTCCCAGTTGTCGATGATGGGGTCATAGCACTCAATGCTGCTCAGCAGGGAATTCCCATCATATCTAAGTGTGAAAAAGAAAGAAATGAATTTTCTATTTCTCTCCGCACAAACGTTTCCTTACAAGTTGTCACAGGAGATGTCGCCCCCAAACCAAACCCTTTCTCTGTCTAAAAATGATGGTTGATGATCAGTTCTCCCAGACTCGTGCCCAGTTTCTGAATCCTCACCCTGCAATTGCATACAGCCTCCCCCGAAGCACGGTGGCCCCCACATAGCATCGTGGAGTAGTCATGCTAGTGACAGTCGTCCAGGAGTCGGTACGAATGTTGTACGCTTCAACAGAAGAAAGGTGGGCCGTACCATCAAATCCCCCAACCACATAAATATGGTCATTCAGTAGGGCTACTCCAGCACCTGGGGGAAAAGAGCACATTAGCAAACAAATGGTATTATGCCTCCTATCTGAAATCTAGAAATAAAACCTGGTCACTTACGGCTAGGAGAATTTTAGGGTAGATGAGGGACATGGATGGGGTTCAGATGGGCCTAGAATGATCTAGTGCAGCCAGGTTATTCCATTTTTAAATTCTTTAGCTGGGACTTAAAGTGATAAAAACTGAAACAGTTTTCTTCTTCACCTTCATTCACTCCGGACCCTAGCCTCATCATTCAGAGAAAAGAAAGATAAGACAAGAAGGCAACTAAAGGCTAAAGGAAGAGAAGGAGTTGCGACTACAGCTCTGAAGCAACTTTCACCCAGAAAAAGTAAACCAATGTTTTCTTCTTTGTTTCAACTCATCCCATTCCACTTCAAGAGGCTCTCAATGGGGCCGGTGTTGTGGTGCAGCACATTAAACTGCCGCTGTGATGGCAGCACTCTGTATGAGAACTGGTTTGAGTCCTATCTATTTCTAATTCAGCTTCCTGCTGACGTGTCTGGGAAAGCATCAGAAGATGGCCCAAAGACACGGGCTCTGCCACCTATATGGGAGACCCAGACAGAGTTCCTGGCTCTTAGCTTTGGACTGGCCCAGTCCTGGCCATTACAGCCATTTGGGGAGTGAACCAGCAGATGGAAGCAGCTCTCTGTTTCTCCCTCTCTCTCTCTGTAACCCTGCTTTTCAAACAAACAGGCCAGCAAGCAAGCAAGACAAGCTAGCTCTCAGTGAAGACTACTCTTCTGTTCCTATGCACTTTATTTTTTTTATTTTTTATTTTTTTAAAGATTTATTTATTTCTTGGAAAGTCAGACATACAGAGAGGAGGAGAGACAGAGAGGAAGATCTTCCGTCCGATGATTCACTCCACAAGTGAGGGCAACAGCCGATGCTATGCCGATCCGAAGCCAGGATCCAGGAACTTCTTCCAGGTCTCCCACACGGGTGCAGGGTCCCAGGGCTTTGGGCTGTCCCTGACTGCTTTCCCGGGCCACAAGCAGGGAGCTGGATGGAAAGTGGAGCTGCCGGGATTAGAACCGGCGTCCATATGGGATCCTGGTGTGTTCAAGGCAAGGACTTTAGGCCATGCCGCCGGGCCCTTCCTATGCACTTTAATGTTATAGATAAAACCCTTCTTGTAGGCCAGAATGTAGGGAGAGAAACCCCTTCCCACCAGAATAAAACAAGAAGGGTTCTGTCTTCAAGTTCATGATCCAGTTGGAAACGAGAGTCTTGGGCATCCTAATATCCTGGGAGGACAGACAGAAGGTTGACATCTGTTACTTCCATGGGGCGCCCAGTGAATCTGATTTCCTGATGTTCTGTCCTGGGCTCCCAACACACTGTGCACTCGTAGGTCAGCCAGCACCACCTACGTGCCCTCCCTCAGGTCTGACTGGGCTTACCTGAACGCTTGGTGGCCATCGGTGTGACATTAGTCCAGTGTCCTGTATGAGGATCATATTTCTCAACTGAATTTAAAATATTCAAGCCATCATATCCTCCTGGAAGACAGAGTGGACACCATTCCAGAAAGAGTTCCTGTCAGCTTTTCTCCAGAGTGCCTTAACTGATTCATTTAGTTTTGGTAGTCCCACAAAGAGTTCTAACAGACTGAAAACCTTTTGCTTACCAGAGAAGATAGCCTCTGCTAGCGAAACACAGAAACATACCACGATTTCAGCTGAAGGAATCTACAAACTTAATTCTGGCAAAAAGGAGTCCCCAAGCAGAGGCCAGACCCAGTAAGCCCTGTCCAACCCCTCCAACTCAGACTGGATACCTAGACAGTAGATCACTCCACTGGCCACTACCAGACCAGCACCTTCCCGGGCTGTCTGCATATCTCCCAGCATGCTCCACTGGTCAATGTTTGGGTCATATCGCTCCATACTGGTGTGACGCCTGCTTCCATCAAAGCCTCCAGAGACATAGATCATATCTGTTCAGAATGAACAAATTAAAGACTGTCAGAGAAAGACTTCTAAGAGCTTTTTTCCTCACAAATTCTTCACAAGTTGTTCAAATGCCTGAGAGCTAAAACAGAGTATTTATGTCCTATAGACAGGAAGACAGCAGAGTCAAGACACATAAAAAGAACAGGGTCAGAGGAAATCTTTCAAGGTATTTGGAAACTACGTGGAAGTCTGTAAAAAGACAACTACTCCTAGTTGCCCAGCAAACACACTTGAATTAACCAACTTTGCAGTCAGGGCTGAACTATTCACAAATACTTAACAGCTTTTGAAACACTGATAGTTCTTGGGGAAAAAGGGAGATGTGGCCTTAGGAACATGAAATGTGGAGGATAAATTCATAACAGGAGAAGAGATGAGACCCTTTATCCAGTCACATCAGGAGTCAGGGTCCTGTACACCAAGCCCACCTACCTCCCAGGGTGGTGGCTCCGGCAAGGCCTCGCCGGACATTCATAGGGGCCACAGAATACCAGACGCCATCCTCATCTGCTGTGTAGTCAAGACATTCAACCGAACTGAGGCGCGAGCGGCCATCATAGCCACCAATGACATAGATCCGGTCATGGAGGGACACCGAGGCCACGTAACGTCTCTTACGCGTGATGCTCTGTGGATTAGGAAGACAAGAGGTGCACAGGGCTCTTGCTGCTCCTTCCTGTTTCTACCCACTCATATGCTTGGTTCCTCACCTGCTACCCACTCTCCTTGGAGGCACTGGCTCCTCCCCAAGTGGCCTCTGACCATCTACTGATGGCAAGGCTTGCTGCGCCGTGCTTAGAGACACAGACCTTCTACACATATGCCTCTTTCCAGGGCTTAAACAAGGCTTTATAGCTGTCTCCTGTCCAATATCTCTTTCGCTAAGACACTGGGCTAAGTGGCTGGTCCCCTTCCATTAACTGCCCAAGTACTCTCCTACTGCTAATCAAAGGGCCAGAATTCAAAGGCTCTAATGGGTAGGAGAATTGATAAGAAAATGTCCATGTTTTCTCAGAAATTATTACTCATTCAACACAGAAGTAGACATATTGAGGGAGAGTAATACAGACTTCTGAGTTTAGCTGAGCATAAGCTCAGTTTAGCACTAACACTTTTGTTTATTTAATGTATATGAAAGAGAGACACACAGGGAGAGAGATCTCTCACCCACTGATTCAAGTCCCAAATGTCTGCACTAGCTGGGGCTGGGACAAGTCAAAGCCAGGAGCCAGGATCTGGGGATTCAATCTGGGTTTCCTATGTGGGTGACAAGAACTGCAGTCATCCTCACCCTCCCAGAGTGAATATCAACAGAAAGCAGGGAAGCACTGGAGTTGGGATGTGAACCAGGAACTCTGATATGGGATGTGGTGTTCTGAGTAGCATCTAACCACTGCATCAAATGCCCATCTCCAGTTTAATACAAGTTAACAGTAAGCTCAGTAGCAGCACACTCGGGCCTAAAAGCAGCTCAGAAAGGAACATAAATAGTGGGGTAAACTGAACGTCACATGACATGGGGTTACATTTCTGAAGTCAAATTCTCTAAAGACTCCACAGCTCGGTCCCCTGCACATCTCTGGTGCAAGTGCAGCAACGAGGGGTGGGAGTGTCCTGGTGCTCTTGAGGCTCACTTGTAACAGCCCCCACTGGGGGGTGAGCACCTTCCAACTCTCTCCCACACACTGTCCATTTACTTACGGGCAAAAAGCTCCACTCCTGAGTCTTGGGGTCATATTTTTCTACCACGTCGATGGGAGACTGCTGGCTTCCAAAACCCCCAACCACCAGCAGCACCTCATTGGCTCCTAAGGACAAAGGCAGAAAAAGACAGGTTACCTCATCATCCCTACCTGGGTAACTACCCACAGGGAAGGGCATGGAGAAGTCTAGGACACCCTGTTTAAGGTGGCTGGGAGAAGCAATCAGAGAGGGATTACAAAACTGCCTAATAAAACAATATTTCTGGGCCTGGCACAATGGCTCAGTGGCTAAATCCTTTCCTTACAGGCAATGGTATCCCATATGTGCCAACTCATGTCCCAGCTGCTCCACTTCCCTTCCAGTTTCCTGTTTGTGACCTGGGAAAGCAGTAGAGGATGGCCCAAAGCCTTGGGACCCTATACCAGCGTGAGAGACTCAGAAGAAGCTCCTGGCTCCTGGCTTTGGATTGGCTCAGCTCTGGCCACTATGGCCACTAGGAAAGAGAACCAGCAGATGGAAGATCTTTCTTTCATTCTTTCTGTATATCTGACTTTGTAATAAAAAAAAATTTTTTTTTAAGGAAGACATCATTTCTGTTTTGGGCTCTAGCTCTTAATAAATAAATAAATCTCTGTAATTTTTTTTTTTTTTTTATTGCAAAGTTAGATACACAGAGAGGAGGAGAGACAGAGAGGAAGATCTTCCATCTGATGGTATACTCCCCTAGTGACCACAATGGCCAGTGATGTGCCAATCTGAAGCCAGGAGCCAGGAACTTCTTCCAGGTCTCCCGTGTGGGTGCAGGGTCCCAAGGCTTTCGGCTGTCCCTGACTGCTGTCCCAGGCCACAAGCAGGGAGCTGGATGGAAAGTGGAGCTGCTGGGATTAGAACCGGCGTCCATATGGGATCCTGGTATGTTCAAGGTGAGGACGTTAGCCGCTAGGCTATGGCACTGGGCCTGAATCTCTGGAATTTAAATGTCTGATAAATACTAAAACTCTAGAAAACCAAGCTGGGAGACTGGTGCGGTAGCCTAGTGGCTGAAGTACTGGCTCGCATGTGCTGGGATCCCATATGGCTCACCCCATATGGGATCCCAGAGGCATCCAAAAGAATCCCCTACCAGGCTCACTCCTAGCCTTGGCTTCTGTGCGTGCTAAAAGGTGCTGTAGCCTAGCCTGGAAGCAATAGTTTTTTATGTCTTTTCCACAAACATTTAGCTTTCTAGTTGAATCTATTGTATGATCACATTCCCTGTCAATTCATCCAAACCACCAAGTAATCAAAGACAAACATTTACAGGGAAGTATTTCTCATTTTCTAAAAGAGCCTTTACAGACTCTTCTCTCCCTTAAGAACTGTTCTGACAAAGTATTTCTTACCTTGTGCACTGGCTCTACAGAGGAAGAACAACTTCCTGGAAGTTTGAACAATTCAATGTTCAGGAAGACATTTAGGAAAGTCAGTGATTTGAATCTTTTTAAGCAATTTGGTCTTAAAAAGACCAAATGTTGGGGCCTGTAAAGTGGCACACAGACTAATCCTCCGTGTGCAGTGCTGCCATCCCATTGGGGTGCTGGTTCAAGTTCAAGTACTGGCTGCTTCACTTCCCATCCCTGCTTATGGCCTGGGAAAGCAGCAGAGGACGGTCCAAGGCTGTGGGCCCCTGCACACATGTGGGAGACCTTGCAAAAGTTACTGGATTCAGGTAGGCTCAGCTCTGGCTACTGAAGCTATTCAAGCAATGAACCAGTGGATAGAAGACCTTTTTCTCTGTCTGTAGCTCTGCCTTTCAAATAATAATAATAATAATAAAAATCAGCCACTGAGATTCAGCCCTTCACTGTGCCGAGAAGCCAGCTTACCTAGACGAGCCCTCGTCCTGGGCCCTTGCATCTGACTCCGCAGCTCAGGCCTCAGATGAAACTTCTTGGCTTCATCAACTAGATCCCTGCACTGCAAACTACAGCGGATAAAAGGCTGAAAGACAGCAGACGGTGAGTGAGACACAAGAGCCACTCTTCATATTGCAGGAGGGTAAATAGCATAAGAAATGAATTTCTTGGCACCAATATTGTGGCACAGTGGGTTAAGTACAGCTTACAGCACCAGCTTCCCATATAAGCACTGGTTTGGGTACCGTCTGATCCACTTCTGATACAGCTACCTTCTGATTCGCCTGGGAAAGCAGCAGCAGATGACGCAAGTGCTTGGGCCCCTGCACTACGTGGGAGACCTAAAGGAAGTCCCGGCACCTGGCTTTGCACTTCGGGAATGGAACAAAGATTTTCCCTCTCTGTGTCTTTCTCTATGAAACTGCCTTTCAAATAAATATATAAATCTTAAAAAAATTTTTTTTTTCAATTTTAATATAGAAAACCAGTTTCTAAAGCCCTGCTACTACACATAACTATGCTGTGGATTCTGAGAAATGGCTAAAAAATTTACCTATCAAAAATTTTCATTTTCATTGATTTGAGAGGCAGAGGGACAGGTAAAGGGCTTCCACTTGCAGTTTCACTCTCCAAATGCCCACACTAGCCAGCAATGGGCCGGGCCAAAGCCAGGAGACAGGAACACAAGCTAGGCCTTCCAAGTGGGAGACGGGACCCAGGGATCTGTGCCAATGCCCCATGCCTCCCAGGATGCACGTCAGCAGTAAGCCGGAATGAGGACTGCAATTCTGGCCCCCTGACATGGGACACAGGTATCTGGAGCAGCATCTGACCAATGCACCGAATTGTTATTGTTTTGGTAATACCTTACATGAATCAACACATAAAAAGAAACATTAATTTCCCATGCATTTTGGCACTTGTAACTATATTGAAGAGTTTGTACAACTTTCCAGGGATTCTGTAAATGTAAGAATATAAGAAGAGGGCCTGGCGCGATGGCGTAGTGGTTAAGGTTCTTGCCTTGCACGTCCGGGATCCCATATGGGCGCCGGTTCTAATCCCGGCAGCTCCACTTCCCATCCAGCTCCCTGCCTGTGGCCTGGGAAAGCAGTTGAGGATGACCCAGAGCTTTGAGACCCTGCACCCGCGTGGGAGGCACGGAAAAGGCTCCTGGCTTCGGATTGGCTCAGCTCCAGCCGTTGCAGCCACTTGGGAAGTGAATCATTGGATGGAAGATCTTCCTCTCTGTCTCTCCTCTCTGTATATATCTGACTTTCCAATAAAAATAAAATAAAATCTTAAAAAAAAAAAATAATATAAGAAGAATTTCATGAGCCCGGCAGTGTGGCCTAGCGGCTAAAGTCCTCACCTTGAACGCACAGGGATTCCTTATGGGCGCCAATTCTAATCCCGGCAGCTCCACTTCCCATCCCAGCTCCCTGCTTGTGGCCTGGGAAAGCAGTCAAGCACAGCCCAAGGCTTTGGGACACTGCACCCGCATGGGAGACCTGGAGGAGGTTCCTGGTTCCCGGCTTCGGCTCAGCGCAGAATCAGCCGTTGTGCTCACTCGTGGAGTGACTCATCGGACGGAAGATTTCCTCTCTGTCTCTCCTCCTCTCTGTATACCTGACTTTGTAATAAAAACAAATCAATCTTTAAAAAATAATAATTAAAAAAAGAATATAAGAAGAATTTCAAGGGAAAACCAACATGCGTCTGTTATTTTCTAGGGTGAGAGTAGAACAATTTCTTTTCTTTTTCTTTTAAGAAAAATAATTATTTTGTCTATTTGACAGGCAGAATTACAGCTTATAAGAGAGGGAGGTATTCCATCCATTGGCTTATTCCCCAAATGGCCACAACAGCAGGTGAAACCAGGAGCTTCTTGCAGGTGTCTCACAGGGGTACAGTAGCCAAGCACTTAGGCTGTCCTCCACTGAGTGGATTGGAAGTGCAGCAGCCGGGACTTGAACCTGTGCCTACGTAGGATGTTGGTTCTGCAGGGTCTAAAGCATAGATTGTTTAAGGTAATTTCCCCAAGGCTCACAGCATGGTCCCAACTCCCACGTCTATCTGCAGTAGGGCTGAGCATTAGATGCCTTTTGTTTACTCTCAGATCCACTCTGTATGCTTCTCTACTCTGCTCTTTGCTTCTCAAGTCTGGACTAATGTGAACTATTTTAAGTATCTGCTTGGCAGTCGTGTCCACCTGGGGATTGAACCAGTGGACAGAGGATCTCGATCTCTCTCTCTTTCTCCCTCCCTATTTCCCCTGCCCTGTAGCCTCTGGTTTGGATGGGCCTAACCAAAGGGCATGGTTCTTCAGAAGGTATGGATTCTACATAGCACAGAGTTTCTGGATCTGGTAATTACTCCTTAATTTCTTCCTTTCTTCTTCTCTCCTTCCAACCCCTTTAGAAATTTACTTATTTGAAAGGCAGAGTTACAGAAAGAGGGGGGAGACAGAGAGGTTGTTCATTTGCTGATTCACTCTCCAAATGGCCAAAATGGCCAGAGCTGGGCTGATTTAAAGATAGCAGCCAGAGGGGCCCAGCGCGGTGGCGCAAGTGGTTAAAGGTCCTCGCCTTGCACGCCCGGGATCCCACATGGGCGCAGGTTCTAATCCCGGCAGCCCCGCTTCCCTTCCAGCTCCCTGCCTGTGGCCTGGGAAAGCAGTCGAGGACGGCCCAAAGCTTTGGGAACCTGCACCCGCGTGGGAGACCCGGAAGAGGCTCCTGGCTTCGGATCGGCATAGTATTGGCCCGTTGCGCTCACTTGGGGAGTGAACCATCGGACGGAAGATCTTCCTCTCTGTCTCTCCTCTCTGTATATCCGCCTTTCCAATGAAAAAAATAATAAAAATAAATCTAAAAAAAAAAAAAAAAAGATAGCAGCCAGAAATCTCCCTCAGGCTCTCATGTGTGCAGGAGCCAAAGGACTTGGGCCATCTTTTGCTGCCTTGCCAGGAACATTAGCATAGAGCTGGTCTGGAGTTAGCGCAACTGGGACTTGAACTGGTGCCCACATGGGATGTTAGCACTATAGGTGGCAGCCTAACTCACAAAATCATAGTGCCTACTCAACTCTGGCCTTCTGAATTTAAGGGTTAACAGTCACATAGAAGTTGCTTCAATGTCTTTTGTTCCTTTTTTAATCCACATATTTGTGTGTGTGTGTGTGTGTGTATCAGCCTTAAATGTGCCCATTTTGAGCACATCATCTTCCTGTTGGGAGATCCTGACTCATATAGCACTAATTACATAGCATATGTATTAACCTGAGTTCAGCACAAAATGGCAAGTTAAATAATCAACAGTAGCAATCAGTTATGTTCAAGACATAGTTCTAAACCTTTTCACATATTAATGTATTTCATACTGGTAACAACTTAGGAAGTGTGTTCTGTTATTTCCCTCTCCATTTTACAGATAAGAAAACATCTGAGGGTCTGGCTTTGTGCGGTAACAGGTAAAAGCCATTGCCTGTGATGCTGGAATCCCATATGGCTATTCCACCTGTGATATAGCTCCCTGATAATAAACTTGCAAAACAACGGAGGATGGCCCAAGAGTTTGGGTCCCTATGTCCATGGGGGAACTTGGAGTAACCTCCTGGCTCCTGATACTGGTCTAGCCCATCCCTGGCCATTGCAGCCATTTGGGGGTGGGAAGTAAACAAGCAGATGGAGGATTTCCCCATCATTCTGCATTTCAAATAAATATATCTTTTCTTTTTCCTAAGTTGAAGCATAAAACACATTACATGACCTGCCCTATGCAGTGAGTGCAGGATTGTAGGCCCTGTGCGGCTCTCGAGTCTGTCCTTGAAAGTATCATGTGAAATACTAGACACTAAGCACACATGTAAGAAATAAATTATAAATAGGAGGAAAACGTGGAGAGCGAATCAGCCTGCGACTTTTCTAAGGTGAGCATCCATGCTGTGGTCATGTTCTCAAGAGCCCTAAGGTTGGGTTGGTCCAGCAGCAGACCTATCCACTAGCTTGGTCCTTCCTTTATGTAGTAAATCAGCATTCCTCTCAAGTGTGGGTCAGCTAACAGGTGGTAAAAATTATTAAAATGTTCTATCAAGCACTTGTGTTGGAAAACACTTATATCAATGAACTCAATATGATGTTTATCTAAAATGTATCCAAATGTTTTTAGGCTGACTTTATTATAGGAAAAAATTAAGATGCTTGCTAAGCAATTAGAAACAATTTATGTTTAATGAAGAAGGGAACAAAATTATCTGATGTTCTTTACGTGAATAAAACACCAAGGAGCAAGTAAACAATTAGATGAGCAAACACACAATTAAAAGCACAGATTTCATCTGAGCCAGAAACCTGACTTACCTGGCAATTAACTTTTTCTGGAAATATGCTTCAGGCCTACCCAGCACCATCCTCTTGGGTATGCCAGGGAGACGAGCAGGAGCCTGGGTGCCCATGTTAAAATAATAAGGGTGGGTGTCTGACCCAGCAGCTAACCTGCCTGATGTTACCCACATCACGTCCCAGAGTGCCCAGCTCCAAGGCCTGGCTAGTCTTGATTCATGCTTTTTGCTAATGCACACTGTGGGAGGCAGTAGGTGAGGGCTCAAGGAATTAGCCCTCTGCCAACCCTGTGGGAGACTGGGATGGAGCTCCTGGTTGCCGGGTTCTGCTTGGCCCAGCTATTGCAGGCCTTTGGGGAAGTGAATCAGGGAATGGCAATTCTTCTCTCAAACTGGAAAAATAAAACCCATCCCAAGGCCACAATGCTGAGCTATCAGAGCTGGTCTAGACTTTGACCTTGAGTATCTGCCGTGCCTTACCTCAGCATCTATTACATCCGTGATGTACCTAGGGGTTAGCAGGGGCATCCGCACATACTGTAGCAGGTCAGGCAAGGACTCTTCTCGCTCCTTCTTGGCATGTTTCACCCAATTGATGACAGCCTCAAAGACTGGCTCTTCAGAATCCACCTGCAAAGGTAAAATTATACATCACCATCTCTGCTCTTCCAAGTAACTCACAACCTTAAAGCGTTCACTTTTCTGTCCTGTTCTCTGTGACCCAACATTACTGTTTCCTATCTTTTGGAAACAGCTAATTTTCAATCTTCTCAGAAACAGCTGAGCAAACAAATTAAATTCAACATGGGTAAAAAAGTCTAAGTCATGTGTTGTCTTTCACCAACACATTTTTCCCATCCCTGAATTCTTTCGGGTCATTCACTCCTCAGATTTAAAGGAGCATTTGTGAGGAACCTGTGGCCCGTTCAAAACTGGCTCTTACTGTAACTTACTCCTCATCCTATGACCTCCAGGTTCCCTTCTCAAAGTGCACACGCAAGCCTATAAAGCAGGTACTTCCCTGATCTCACCACATGGAACACAGCAGCTTCCACAGCTTTGTTCATTAGCATTGGAGCAACCCCCATGTACTAGGCACTGTGCCAATTGCTTGGGAAACTTAGGTCTAAGCTTACGTATGATGATATAGGTAAAGTGAGACACACTTAGGAAGGCTAGTGTATGCCACAGGAAATATGCTAACAGCAGGACTTGCCAGACAGGCACTGGAGTTCAGGTCCTGTTTCCCTCCCACCAACTCCTACAGCATGGGGCATGGAGAGACCTTGCAGTGTCACTATGACTAGACCACCCTGTGAACTTTGTCTAGGAACTGTAGGACTTTGGAAATGTGAAAAATGTTCCAGAAAGCTCATGTGTTTTATGGATTTAATGAACCCCTGCTAAATTCCAGCTGTTCTCTGAAACCTGGAGAGATAACTGTTCAATCGGAATGAACAAACCTATGTTAAATAGGCAAGGTAGTAGGCAGAAGAGCAGACTCTCTAATTTAAATGGACGAGTCAGGGATGGCATCCCTACTGCAATCTGATGCATGGAAGTAGCTGGCCAGCGAGAGTAAGACAAGGCTCCTTAGCAGAGAGAAGAGTACATACACGCCCCCGCTGTCAAGTAGCCACTAGCCAGGCACGGTTACTTCTGGTTAAATTAATTACAAGTGGGCGCTGTGGCCTAGTGGTTAAACCATTGCTGAGGACGCATGTGTCTCATGTGGAGCTCATGAGTTCAAGTCCAGGCTCCAGTTCTGATTCAAGCTTCCTCCTAATGCAGGACCTAGGGGATGCATTGGTCAGGCTCGAGTAGCTAGGTCCTTGCCAATCATATGGGGCCACTGCAGGCATGTGGGGAATGAACCAGCAGGCAAGAGAGTTCTTTCTTTCCCTACTTCTCAAATAACAGAGAAACTCACCGGTTTCATTAAAAAGGGGGGGAAAAAAAAAGGCAGATATTCTAGCAGTGGACACCTGTGTCCTATGAGAGTACCTAGGTTCAACTCTGAGTTCTGCTCCTGGCCCCAGCTTCCTGCTAAAGTGGGCGCTTGGAGAAGCAGTGACAAGTCGACAGCCGGGTTCCTGCCTCCCACATCAGAGCCCAGGACTGAGCTTCTGGTTCTGGGGTTAGCCTAGCCCAGGCAGCTGTAGATACAAGACAAAGGAGCGAGCAGATGGGAGATGGATTTTTCTCTCAAAAAATAACCAAAAAAATACAATTCCCTAAAAACAGTAATTTTCTTCACTCATGATCAAATAGTCTCCATTTTACTGAAGACAGAATGTTCTACTGGTTAACTCCGGATTATAACTGCAGAGAAAACAGCTACATTGGGAGGAAAAAAAAATCCTCCAATGTTAACGCTTCATTCTGCACGCTAAATTTTCACAAGGAATTCTTTAACATGGGGAGCTGACATTCTTGCTTAATGCTCAGAAGAGCCGTATGTATGTAAAGAGCAGGAAACTAAAAATTAGCAGCTTGGTAACAAGCATCCCACAGTGGAGACTCTACCCCACTGGACTCTATAAAGCCCATTTTGTTCACTAATATGATGTGCTGCTTTTCCTTGCTTAGCACTGCTGCTTTATTTAATAAGAGGAAGTGTTGGCAGGAGGGAGTCAGACATCTGGCTCCTATTTCTGGCTGGTACATGCAAAAAAAAAAGCAATGTGACAATCCTCTGTCATTCCAGAGAGGAGCAACCACCAGCCTCAGAGTTCAGTGATGCACAGTGACACAGCAGGATCACGAACTGTCACAACCCCTGAATAAGGTTTGCTATTTGCGCTCTATGTTCCACCTAATTTACTCCAAAATCTATAGTTTGAAAATATTAGGTAATAGGGCAGTGTGGTGGCACAGCAAAGTGAAGCTGCCACATGAGCTGCCAGCATCATATATGTGTGCCAGTGTCAGTATTAGCTATTCTACTTATGCCCAGCTCCCTGCTGTGTGCGGCAAGTCAGTGAATGTGGTCCCTGACAGCCACATGGAAACCAGGATGGACCTGGCTCCTGGTCTAGCCCTGAATTTTTGTGGCATTTGGAGAGTGAACCAGTAGGTGGAAGATCCTCTCTCTCTGCTGCTCTATCATTTTTTTTAAAGATTATTTTTATTGCAAAGTCAGATATACAGAGAGAAGGAAAGACAGAGAGGAAGATCCTCCGTCTGATGATTCACTTCCAAAGCAGCCACAACAGCTGGTGCTGAGCCAATCCGAAGCCAGGAGCCAGGAGCCAAGAACTTCCTCCAGGTCTCCCATGTGGGTGCAGGATCCCAAGGCCTTGGGCCATCCCCAACTGCTTTCCCAGGCCACAAGCAGGGAGCTGGCTGGGAAGCGGGGCTGCTGGGATTAGTACTGGAGCCTACATGGGATCCTAGCATGTTCAAGGCCGCTAGGCCACCACTCCGGGCCCCATCAGTCATGGCTTTACACACGCCAGCATCTATCTCGTGGGCACCGGTTCTAATATGGGTGTTGTGAGTGGTGGTTTAACTAGCTATGCCACAACACCAGATCCCAAACTGTGATTCTTTCCACCATATCTTATTAAAACAGAGGTACACCTGCTTAGGTATATGCCACTAAACTCCATTCATATTTTAAAATGATATTTGGGGACAGTGTTGTGGTATAGTAAGAGGCTGCTATATGTGATCCCATACCTCAAGGGTTCCAATCCCAGCTGTTACATTTCCAATCCATTTCTCTGCTGGTGTGCCTAGGAAAGCAGCAAAGGATAGTCCGAGGGCTTGGGCCCCAGAACTCACATGGGAGAACTAGAGGAAGCTCCAGGTCCCTGGCTTCAGCCTAGCCCAGCCTTAGCCACTGTGACTATCTGGGGAGTAAACCAGTGGATTGATCATTCCAACTCTGTCTTTCAAATAAATAAGGTTTTTTTTTTTTTAAAGGGGGAATGAAGTGATCTTCCACTTGTTGGTTCATTACCTAAACACCTGTAACAGTCAGGAATTCAGTCCAGTTGCTCCCAGGCAGGGCAGGCCGGCGACAAATCATTTGACTCTAGATATCTTCCATGTGAACTTGTAACTCCAGCTCTTAGCCTAACCACAGACCTGTATGCATTAAAGATGGTTCTTCAGGCTGAGTTAAGACACTGAATGCCTGTCTGGTGAGGCAGCAGCCACTTCCTCTGCTGGGCAAAGTGCCAGCCTGCTCACACGCAGGGCGCATGCCCCTCCTCCTGTCCTCACTTCTTCCCACAAGGCAGTGTGGCTCCGGTTCTTGATTATGCAGATTCTCACTTTCAAACTCATGTCTTTGTTTATTTTTGGTCTACACCTGAACAAAGGTTTCTTCTTCTATGTGATTTCCTCATCTTATATACTCATTATTATTCTCTTTATATTCTTAAAATGTTTGCATACCTGCTACTATTACTATGTTGTGAACTGTATGAAATCAAGAATGTCATACTGCTGGCACAGTGACTGCTACATAGCAGACATGCTCAGTGAGTGTATGAAAAGGAGTGAATGGGTAACAGAGAGAGGTTCAGCAGCCATGTACTTTACTTCTGATTTCTGCTCATTTTACATTCAGTTTAACAGTGATTATTCACCACTGGCATCAAACATTTAACTGCGGAAAGTGACAAAATCTCCATAAATACGCAAATAGGCTCAATATATACAGGTCTGGGGTTAAATAAAACCTTTGAGGCCAAGATGGACACCTACTTTGAGGCTCTGTTACATAAACACGGGTAACTCCACCCTTGCGAGTTTTATAATGGTTCAGGCAAGCATATCACCAAGTCACACTGGTACCTGAATTTCATCGCACTTGATTAGCTTTTCCACCTCGCCTTGACTTAGAAGAATGAACTCTTCATGCTGTACCACTTCAGGAAAATGCTTCTGGCTAAAGACCTCAGCTGCTTGCATCAAGTCAACACAATTGTGAGTTTCAGCAAAATCTCTGATACCCAGGCAGTTAGAAGGGTCCAGCTGACTTTCTAGGAACTCGCAGCAGGCTTGCTTCACACCTAGGATAAACACAGGCAGTGAACACTTCCTCACACATGGCCAGGCATGAACTGGCCTACTTTTTGGCTCTCAGCGTCTTTGTAGCTCCACACCTAGGAAATAGGGAAGAAATCGTATGCATATGAATTCAGATCTTACTTCTGCCTCACGTGCTCTGAGGCTTCAAGCAAGAATAAGAACCTTACACCTTCTTTGCCTCATGTTTAAAATCATTCCAGCAAGATGAACTGCAGAGCGGCACTGGCATAATGAAACAAAACGCCTATGAAATTCTTGGAAAACAAACTTTAAAAGCAATTATTAATTCAGCACACAATGTACCTGTCTTCTATTTTATATCAAAATTTACTAACTGGGTGTGGCACAGTAGCCTAGCAGCTAAAGTCCTCACCTTGAACATGCTGGGATGCTATATGGGCGCCAGTTCTAATCCCGGCGGCTCCGCTTCCCAGCGAGCTCTCTGCTTGTGGCCTGGGAAAGCATTTGAGGATGGCCCCAAGGCCTTGGGATCCTGCACCCGCGCCGGGGACCCTGAGGAGGTTCCTGGTTCCTTGCTCTGGGTTGGCTCAGCTCTAGCTAGCTGTTGTGGCTGCTTGGGAAGTGAATCATCAGACAGAAGATATTCCTCTCTGTCTCTCTTCTGCTCTTTATATCTGCCTTTCTAATAAAAATAAATAAATCTTAAAAAAAAAAACACCTAACTTTAGTGAAGAAAAAACAGGAGACATTAATAAAAAGTTTTTTCCTCTAATTGAAAAGTTTAGACTATAAATTTAGTTTTATAACAGTGCACTAATGCAAAACCTTAATTTTAAAGTCATGTCTTAAAAATGGAAAATTTTAAAATTATGTGCATATCAAGGGTGAACATTATGAAAGCAACTGAAAATTACAGACATACTGGGAACTGAAAGAAAACCATTTCTATTCCTATGAAAATGCTACACTTTCATGCTGAATGCTGATTTAGACTGTTTTCTGATATCTATTTTTACATGGTAAAAAGAAGAACTTGAGGGGCCCGGCAGCGTGGCCTGGTGGCTGAGGTCCTTACCATGAACGTGCCAGGATCCCATATGGGCACCGGTTCTGATCCCGGCAGCTCCACTTCCCATCCATCTCCTTGCTTGTGGCTGGGAAAACAGGCGAGGAAGGCCCAAAGTCCTGGGACCCTGCACCTGTGTGGGATACCTGGAGGAGGTTCCTGGCTCCTGGCTTCGGATCGGCACAGCATCGGCTGTTGCGCTCACTTGGGGAGTGAATCATCAGACGGAAGATCTTCCTCTCTGTCTCTCCTCTCTGTATATATCTGACTTTCCAATAAATAAATAAATAAATAAATAAATCTTAAAAAAAAACTTGAAGAAACAAAAGGGTGAACCATGAAAACGCCCCCCAACCTCCCTCACAAATATATAGCATCTAAGCAGGTGGCAAACAGTATCACTCTCTTTAATTTCCTTACAGGGAAGGGTATTACAGACACGAATGTAAGAGGATACATATATTGTCCCCTCCTCCAGCTTTTGAAAAACAGAAAAGGCGTCAATGCTTTCAGGTGCTCACATGTGCAGAGCTTCCTTTACATGGCTGATAACATGTGATGCTCTGGGATTCAAATAAAAGCCATGGGCGGCAGCCAACGTCAGTGTCCAAAGTCTGTCTCCACGATTTTCCTAAGTTTGCGGCAATAATTTCAAGTACTTTCAGGGATACTCTGCCATGAACAACAGTAAGTTTAATGTCTGTACCTTTCAGTTGCAGCAAACAGGCTGCAGGAAGCAGTTCTTGAACATTCTCCACCGTCACATGCACCGTTTCTGTGTATACAAAGTCCAGCAGGATTTCCATGGTAGACGCAGTTAGACCCTGGATATCAACATACGGCTTCCCCTTTTCTGAAAGCTAAGAAATCAAAGGGTATGAAAAATGGTAATGACTTCACAAGAAAAGGCAGTATCTCCAGAATAAGTTTAAAGGCTCATATGAGTTGAATATACATTAAAAAAAATTCTGGAGCTGGCGTGGTGCCATAGCAAGCTAATCCACCAACTGTGATACTGTAATCCCATAGGAGTGCTAGTTTCAGTCTTGGCTGCTGCACTTCGGATCCAGCTCCCTACAATGTGCTTGGGAAAGCAGTGGAGGATGGCCCAAGTGCTTGGGCTCCTGCACGTACATAGGAGATCCAGAAAAAGCTCCTGGCTCCCAGCTTCAGACAGGCCTGGCTCTGGCCACTGCAGCCATTTGGGGAATGAATCAGTGGCTGGAAGATCTCTCCCTCTCTCTCTCTCTGACTCATCTTCTCTCCATAATTTTTTCAAATGAAATAAATAAATCTTTAAAAAATCATTCTATCTGATTTGTATAAAGCAAACATCTGTATTTGTAGCTTTCTGTACTCTGGATGTACATAGAAGGTGATCCCTTTCTGGAATATCAAATTTATTAGTAAATGGTTAAAAGTACTGACTTCATATTTAAATATAGAATAGAGTGCAAAAGTTCCATGGATACGGCACTAGCACCCGCAAACACTGAAGACAACCAGAATCACTACATTCTCATGGCTGTGGGAGACCAGGAGTTTGTGGCCCCAGGCCTTCCAGGAGTCCCTCATTTGCTAAGGCTGCACAGGAACACACAGATCATCCCCTCAGCCATTCTGTAACACTGAGTAAAACTGAACTGGGTGCTAGTTTTTCAAAATAGGGAGCCATTTTCAGGTTACTGAATTGCTGGTAGTATGGTTAGTCCTGAAGATCTCCTGGAAAATTCTAAGCACAGATGAGGACAGGTCCATAAGGACTGTTTAGTTAACAGTAGGAATCCTCGACCCTATGGGATAGAAAGTTATCCAAATATGGACTACCTGTGACAGTTTTACTGGATCTTAGCCTTAGTTTAAAAATTCACATTACTGGGCCCGGCACGGTGGCGCAAGTGGTTAAAGGTCCTCGCCTTGCACGCCCAGGATCCCATATGGGCGCCAGTTCTAATCCCGGCAGCCCCGCTTCCCTTCCAGCTCCCTGCCTGTGGCCTGGGAAAGCAGTCGAGGACAGCCCAAAGCTTTGGGAACCTGCACCCGAGTGGGAGACCCGGAAGAGGCTCCTGGCTTCGGACCGGCATAGTATCGGCCCGTTGGGCTCACTTGGGGAGTGAATCATCGGATGAAGATCTTCCTCTCTGTCTCTCCTCTCTGTATATCTGCCTTTCCAATAAAAAAAATAATAAAAATAAATCTTTAAAAAAAAAAATTCACATTACTCACAAAATCCCAGGACACTCTTCCACCAGCCCAGAGAATACAAAGTATTCTCTACTAAAGCCAAGAACAAAACCAACCTCCAACACTAAAAAACCTCACTAGTATTGTTTTAGAAAAACATACTAGGTTTTATTAACATTTAACATAGTATAAGTGATTTCTAAGCAATCAGTGTCCTAACATATCAAAGTCGGTGCTCACCATACTGAAACACAGAAATACATGATTCCCTGAAGTTTCTCATTCAATAAACCATTTCCATGAGTTAAGCGGTTTAGACATAGAAACGATCTTGACCAATACAAATTCACAGCAATCACATACTTCATATTTGCATACATAAGATATTTTAAGGAGTTATTAATTAATTGATTTGGATTGCAGAGTGACAGGGATATCTTCTACTTGGTGGTTCATTCTTCAAATGGCCACACCAGCCAGGTCTGGGTCAGGCCAAAGCCAGGGCCAGCAACTCCACCCTGGTCTCCCTCAAGGGTAGTGGGGCCCAAGTACTTACTGCCTTCCCAGGAACGTTAGCAAGAGGCTGGATCAGAAGTGGAGTAGCTAGGACTCACCATGGGATGCTGGCATCACCAGCTTTTCACATTTATATTTTATGTCACAACTTTTCAGTATACTTCTGTAACTCATGATTTCATATTCGTAGCAAACTAGTAAGGTTATATGGGCTGATATTTAAAAGACAACAGACCTAAGGTCCAAAGATATGAAAAGACTTGACCAGTAAGAGACAGATAAAACCCTGCCTCCTGGCCTGAGTCCGAAGCCTTTCAAACAGCTGAGGAGCGCTTCAGGGCGGGGAGAGAACAAGAGAATAAGGCAGCCATTCTAGCTCAACTACCTTCTTTTATACATCAGCCCAGCAAAACTGGATGGCAGCTAGGGTTCACACTGAACTGCCAAGAGAACTAAGGGGCCTGAGACTCTTTCCCTTAAACCAATCACTTTGAAAAGCAAAGACAAAACCATCTGGCATTTTCTTGCTGATTGTCAGTTTTTAAAGACATGACAAGAAAAAAAAAACTTCCTCTACATTACTAATTTCTGAATGTTAAAAAGAGCCCAAATTTTCTCCAAGCCAACACGAAACAGGATGGACAGCATGTAATTAGCAGTCAGCAGCCTGAGTCCATTTCATGATTGGCAGCTGCTGGGTGACACTCTGCGTCTAGTCAGACGCCGGCTGCTTCTGATGCTCCTGGAGGGACAGCACAGGGCTCTATGAGCCTCTATCTCACAAGGTCATGTGCAAGCCAGCCTGGAGGAGCTGGAATGACCTGTTGGGTGTCTGTTTCTCCTCTCAGCCATGTAATTGAGTGCTGGTTCACAGTATGATAAACTATGTTGGCTTTAAAATCAGATTACAGGGGCTGCAGTTGCGGTGCAGCATGTTAAGCCATTGCTTGGGATGCCTTCATCCTGTATCAGCTTGCCAGTTCCAAGTCTCAGGTGTTCTGTTGTTAGTAGGCTGTGGATGTGCCTGGGAAGGCAGCAGATGCAAAGTATCTGGGTCCTTACCACCCTAAGTAGGAAGACCAGGGTGGGTTTCTGGCCGGCTGCTGCCTTTGGTCTGGCCTGACCTGATTGCTGCAGGCATTCGGGCAATGCTCTCTTTCTGCCGCTCCTATATACAAGCAGATGAAAACAAACATTTAAAAATAAATGAATGAAATTAGACTATAAACTCATATGTCAGAACCTGAGGAGGCACAGCAGGGTGCCAGTTTATGTCCCTGCTAATATACCTGGAAAAGTAGAATACAGCCCCAATGCGTGGGTCCCTGCACTGTCACAGGAGATTCAGATGAAACTCCCGGCTTTGACTCAGCTTAGTCCAGTTGTTGTGGCCACTTGAACCAGCAGATGTAATATGTATTTATAATTATGCCTTCCAAATGAATACATAAATGAATAAATAAATCTTGATAAAAATTGCTTGGGCTTTAGTGTCAGAAAGTATAAACTCAAATCTCATCTCCTAGCATTTGAAAGGCAACTAACTTTGGGGAAAATATGTGAGGTCTGGTCTTTGTCTTTTTTTTTCCCCCTTAAAGGCAGAATTACACAGAGAGGCAGAAACAGAGAAAGAGAGCTCCCATCTGCTGGTTCACACCCCATGGCACAATGGCCAGGGCTGCGCCAGGCCACAGCTAGCAACTGGAACTCCACCTTGGTCTGTCACATGGGTGGCCAAGGCCCAACCACTTGGACCATCTTCGCTGCTTCTGTAGGAACACCAGGTTGTCACTGAAGCAGCCAGGACTCAAACTGCCCATAGGGCACGCTGGCACTGCAGGCAAGAGCCCCTTGGTCTTTCTTAGTAAGATGACAGTACTTGTTCCAGGTGAGTGTGATGTGCAGCCCAACACTGGCACAGGTGCTGGCCTCTGAGAAGTGGTTATCATCATCATGATTCCGCCTCTTCCATCAGATTCAGCAGCAACATCCTAAGGCCATGAGGCTAATGCTGTCTTGTTACAATGACACATTTCAGGCTGATGAATCACTATCAAGTATTAGAATACATACAAATGTACTCACCACTAAGTGTAAAAGCAGAAATCAAGATTACTTCATTTTAGTCTATTTTCTAAACATTCTGCAGTGCTTTCTTCTGCTCAGTGTTCTAAAAGCACTCCTAGTACCGTCAACAGCTTCATTCTGCATCCTGAATGTTCTGTCAGGCAGCTAATTCTATTTCGTCTCTTTTTTTTTTCTTTAAAGAGTTATCTGTTGATTTATTTGAAAGGCGAAACACCAGAGAGGGCATCTTTCACTCACTGATTCACTGCCCAGAGGGCAGGCTGAAGCCAGAAACTCCACTCTGGTCTCCCACTTGATGGCTCAAGGAGCCCAGGGAGCCAAGCACTTGGACCATCGTCCACTGCCAACTCAGGTGCCTTTTACAGGAATGCAGATTACAATGGGGATGGCCACAACTGGGACCAGCACAGTCATAAATGGCAGCTCAATCCACGGTGCCAACACCTCAACTGTCTTATTTTTTTTTTTAGTTTTAATTTTGAATTTTTCAATTTTATGGTACAATTTCGGAGAGACTAGAATTCTCCCACCACCAAAATCCTACCCCTTGATTATTTTGTAATTTTTTCAACTGTATTTCTTAATACTTTATGTGTATTCCCCTTTCGTTTGTGAAGCCAGCTTTTTCCTTTTTTTTAAAGACTTACTTATTTTTATTATAAAGTCAGATATACAGAGAGGAGGAGAGACAGAAAGATCTTCCATCTGATGTTTCATTCCCCAAGAGGCTGCAATGGCTGGTGCTGAGCCAACCCTAAGCCAGGAGCCAGGAACTTCCGCCAGGTCCCACCCCGTGGGTGCAGGGTCCCAAGGCTTTGGGCCATCCTTGACTGCATTACCCAGACCACCAGCAGAGAGCTGGCTGGGAAGCGGGGCTGCTGGGATTAGAATTGGCACCCATATGGGATCCTGGCATGTTCAAGGCGAGGACTTTAACCACTGCACTATTGCACTGGGCCCAGCTTTTTCCTTTTTTAGGGTTTATTTTAATTTATTTTAAGGCACAATTACACTGAGATATCTTGCCTTCTGATTCAATCCCCAAATGGCTGCGATGGCTGGGCCGGGCCAGGCTGAAGCCATGAAACCGGCACTTCATCTCCCATTCGGGTGCAGAGGCTCAAGCACCTGGACCATCCTCTGCTGTTTTCCCAGGTGGATCAGCAGGGAGCTGGATCAGAGCAGGCAGGACTTAAACCAGCACCCAAGGGAATGCCGGCACTACAGGCGGCAGCTTTACCTGGTACATCCCAATGACGACATCAGCCAGCCTTTTCCTAACTCCCTTTGTTAACTGCTTATACTCTGGAGTATCTCTGTCCAAGTCACAGCCTCTATACCTACTTGGCTGTTCATTAAAAATCACCTTAAAATCCACTTTGGCAGAACAAATACTGATTTTATTCACACACTGACAACAATGGGATGAGCTCCAAATTCCTTTCTCTTGCTTTCTTCCTTTCTTCCTCCCTAATCCCAACAGGTATTCACCTTAAAAAGGCCCTTGAGGGCCTGGCATGGTGACCTAGCAGCTAAAGTCCTTGCCTTGATTGCGACAGGATCCCATATGGGCACTGGTTCTAATCCTGGCAGCCCTGCTTCCCATCTAGCTCTCTGCTTGTGGCCTGGGAAAACAGTGGAGGATGGCCCAAACCCTAGGGACCTTGGATTCGGATGGGCTCAGCATCGGCCATTGCGGTTATTTGTGGAGTGAACCACTGGATGGAAGATCTTCCTCTCTGTCTCTCCTCCTCTCTGTATATCTGACTTTACAATAAGAATAAATAAAATATTTAAAAAACCTTACAAAAATTTGTTTTTGTTTTAAAGATTTACTTATTTTTATTGCTGCAAAGTCAGATATACAGAGAGGAGGAGAGACAGAGAGGAAGATCTTCCGTCCCATTATTCACTCCGCAAGTGAGCACAACGGCCGGTGCTGTGCCAATCTGGAGCCAGGAGCCAGGAACTTCCTCCAGGTCTCCCACACGGGTGCAGGGTCCCAAGGCCTTGGGCCATCCTCGACTGCTTTCCCAGGCCACAAGCAGGGAGCTGGATGGGAAGTGGAGCAGCCAGGATTAGAACTGGCGCCCATATGGGATCCTGGCGCGTTCAAGGTGAGGACCTTAGCGGCTAGGCCACTGCTCTTGGCCCAGACCTTACAAAAATTTGAAGGCAATTTTAGCAACAATAAAAAAATCCCAATTACTAAGAACTGCTACCCACTGAATGGCTATTAGCACATTAGCTTTTTCAATCTTCACAACAACATGTATGATGCAATATGCATTGCTATTATCTCTAATCCAGTGCTGAGAAAATGATAGCACAGTCATTATTTCCCCACAGCCTACCTATTTAAACACTGCCTTCTCAAAAACCACAACTATATCCAAACTACCACTATCCTACCCAGTGAAATGAGACAAGTACAAAGTCGTGTGAGTGAGTTTCCTGTGAGCTGGGGTAACTCACCACGTACCTCGCTGGTGAACATGGCGCAGAAGTAGTCGCTGCAGGCAGCCAGCACGATGCGGTGGGCAGGAAAGTCTTTCTGCTCCACCCTCAGGGTCACGTCGCAAAGGGTATTGCTCTTCCTGAGGGCGTTCATCGAGTTGAGGATGGACTTAGCATGTGTGTTTGTCATTATGTCTTTGGGGGCCATCATGCCTCCCATCAAGCAACCTGGAGGAAGAACAAAAGGGGTCTTCTGATTCTCTACAACAGAAAACAGCAAAGGGCACACACGCAATTAGCGTTGCAGATGGAGGGGCGTCTTTAGCCCCAAGCAGCCACACAGTCACTTGCGTCTCTGGGATCACCAAGATCTGGCCACTAATGCTTCTGATTTAGAGGGTCCTCTCCTTCCTCTGAATCACAGAGGGCCCTTGCCATCTACAACAGATTGTAATAGGTTTCCAACCAACTAGAAGGAAATTTTATATGTCTTATATATTTCCAGGGGATTATCTCAAATGAGAAGGTAAAAAAAAAATCCCTTAAAGATGTGATAGCATGATTATTCAATATTTTTAACAGAATAAGCATTCAGTAAGTGTGGTCCTATTTTATATATATCTTTTAGAAAATGTACAAGGAAAGGGTAGTAATTAAATGCAAAAAAAATGTTACGTTCAATCTTGAGAGAAAGAAATGAAAATAAACTATCTTCTAAAGAAATGAAAGTATGCAAAGAAATATGTATGAACAATACAAAATATAACAGAATTACTTGTGAAGATGAATGATGGCTCAACTAGCTGATCGTCCACCTCCAAACCGCTGGTGTCCCATATGGACACCGGTTCCCACTCAGCCCCTTTCCTGTGGCTTGGAAAGCAGCAGAGCATGGGCTAAGTCCCTGAGGCCCTGTCCTCATGTGGGAGACCCAGAAGACGATCCTGGCTCCTGGTTTCAGATCAGCTCAGCAATGGTTATTGTGGTCACTTGGGGGAGTGAACCAGTGCATGGAAGAAATTTCTCTATCTTTTCTGTAAATCTGCCTTTCCATCCATTGTCTTACTGTTGATGAAGTCATCAAAAACCCTTCAGTAAGGAGGTAATGCAATTCTACACTATTAGGAACGCCCGTCGAAGTTAACACAATGTTGTAGCAGTCCTTCCATACTCAAAGAACCTTATTAGGATATACACCTAAAATTCCTCCACCGCTAAGTTCAGTTCCAGGACCTACTATAAGTCGGCCTTCAATATCCACAGCTTCCCCATCCACAGCCAACCAACCACACGTGGAAATACTTGGAGGAGAAACGTCAGGAATATAGTAATATGCACATGTTTTTCTTAGTCAAACAACCACTCACAAAGCAGCTGCAATGCACTGGGTAGGTAACATGCAAACACCATTCTCTTTAAGGGACTCTAGCAGCTATTTTGCAATATGGTAGTTCGTGGAGTTCTTGGTGGCAGATACCAAGGGGGGATGGCTCTGCTCACAGACTTCACTTACACACAGGTCCTCAATGACTGCCTATTGAAACATAAGGGAAGGAATACTTTGGTGACACACTTTTGTCACATTATTATGATTATTATTATTATTTGCTTCTTGGCCTTCAGGCACAATTTCTGGGGAGTAAAATGGGAATTGCTAGTAAGACACTCTGTCTTCCCAGGAATCTAAAACTTTCTTAAATGATCCAAGAAAGTGAAATACATATATATATATATATATAATCAAGTCATGGTTTTCAGAAGTTCACAACCCACAGTCAGAATTTTTGAATAGCAAAAAAGATCCTAAATCCTCATCTATGTCTGTCCTCAGTAAACACACTATTGCAAAAGCCCTCTAGAAAATCCATCCATTTCACACACTGAATGAACAAGTGATTCACCGTAGCTTTCATTATCGAAAGAGTTTCCTTCGGTCAAGCTGAACAGGCATCCCTCCCTGTGAAGATTGTTCTGGGATTGGGACCACTACGGCTGAGCCTTAAATTCGTGTCAAAATCGACAACACCCCCAGAGCGAGCGGCCTTTGCTCTCGGACTTCTGCCTCGCCCGGCAGCCTCCGAACACTCTGCACCCGCCCTTCCCAGTCGGGAACGATCCATTCTAGAATAACCGTTCACACCTGCATTACAGGGATTTCACCGCAGGAGATTCGGGGCGGGGGCGGGGAAAGGCTGAATTCCAGACATGAAAGGATGGAGGGTGTCCTCTTCCGACCACACCGCCCGAGACGGAGCTTAGAGGTGGGCGCTGGAGGCCACAAGCGAGGGAGCCCAGGGATGGGGGCAGGGACAGCACCGGGCACTTGGGGTAGGAAGGCAGGGTCTACCTGACGCCACCTCCGTGCAACTCACCTCGGCTCCCGGGCCCCCCGGGGCGCGCCGGACTGGGCCACGGTGTGTAAGGCTGGCTCGGGAGGGGCGCGGGGCTAGCAGGCGGCTCAGCAGGAGCCGGAGCGCCGCCGCCGCCCCCGCTCGGAGGCTCGGGAGCCGTCACCGTGGTCGCCGCGGCTTCAGCCCCGCGGCCGCGCGACGTGATGACGTTATGCGGCGCGAGGCCTGCCCTCCTCCCGCCCCCTGGTCTGCGTCACGTGAGGCGTCCTTGTCACGTGACGCGCACGTGCCCGCAGCAGGCTTCGGCAACAGCAGAAGAGGCAGTTGGCAGGGAGTGGGCGCTAGGGCGAGGGAGCTGGAGTTTGCAGTTTTGCTCCGTGATTGGCTGGTTTCTTTCTCCCCGGAGCCCACGAACTGGGTAAGCCTGGGAGGGTTTCCCCTAGCTTCTGGTTGAAGGCTCTGATTGCAGACTGTTTTACTTGGCTGGTATTCTGGTACCCTCTGTCATTCCAGAAAATGGAGGCTTCAAACATCTCAAATTCCCGTGGCCACAGTGGCCACTTAGCGCTGACCATCCATCGCTGCGGTGAGAACCTCTGAGCCTACGTTCTCTACATCACAATGGGCCCGCTCTGAGGGGATGTTACCTCTGTAAGACAAGCTAGAAAAGTTGTAGCTTGCAGCCCTTGTGGGTCCGTGTTGCCTTCTCTAGGGATGAAAACACCCTGGCACAGTGGACACCGTTCTGGCTTTGCTTGGTATCTCCATCTCCCAGGATGACATGATTGGAGCCAATGTGTGACTCCAGAACACTTAAGTCTCAGAACTGGAAGAATTCTTGGGGCCCTGGCACAATATTCGCCTTGCAAGCATCGACTGTCCCGTATGGGCACCAGTTTGTGTCCTGACAGCTCTGCTTCCCATCCAGCTCTCTGATTATGGACTAGGAAAGCAACAGAGAAGACCCCAAAATCTTGACACGCTACCTATGAGGGAGACCTGGAAGAAGCTCTTGACTTTCGATGACCTCAGCTGCTGTTGTGGCCATTTGGTGAGTGAACTAGTACATGGACATCTTTCTATCTCTCCTCTCTGTAAATCTTATCTGCCTTTCCAATAAAAAAAAGATTTTTTAAAAGATTATTTATTTTATTGGGAAGGCAGATGTACAGAGGAGAGAAAGAGAGGAGGATCTTCTGTCCAATGATTCACTCCCCAAGTGAGCACGATGGCCAGTGCTGTGCCGATCCGATGCCAGGAGCCAGGAACTTCTTTCTGGGTCTCTCACACAGATGCAGGGTCCCAAGGCTTTGGGCCATTCTTGACTGCTTTCCCAGGTCACAAGCAGGGAGCTGGATGGGAAGTGGAGCTGCCGGGATTAGAAATGGCAACCATATGGGACCCCAGCGCATTCAAGACGAGTACCTTAACCATTACGCTATTGCGCCAGGCCCTCCAATAAAAATCTTTTAAATTCCTTTTGCTCCTGATTTATCTTTCCTTGCTTTCATCGGAATGTTTATCAGAAGTGGCAAGTAACACCTTTTTCTGTGTATTTCTAGTTTATGCACTCTTAAATTTGTGTTGAGAATGCTAGTCATTACAAAAACAAAACCCATTAGTGAGTCGTGAAAACATTTTAGGAGCTCAGAACCAGTATTACATATATATAAAATATATATGATTATATAATTTTAAATTTATTTTTATTGGAAAGGCAGATTTACAGAGGAGAGACAGAGAGATGTCTGCTGATTCACTACCCAAGTGGCTGCAATGGCCAGAGCTCAGCCAATCCGGAGCCAATTTTTCCAGGACTCCCCCGTGGGCACAGGTTCCCAAGGCTTTGAGACATCCTCGACTGCTTTCCAAGGCCACAAGTAGGGAGCTGGATGGGAAGTGGAGCAGCCAGGATTAGAACCAGCACCCATATGGGATTCTAGCATATGCAAGGTGAGGATTTTAGCCACTGGGCTATCGCCCTGGGTCCTCAAGCAGTTTCTTGAGTGAAATAACCTGGCTGGCTGAATACATCTTATGTGAGATGCTAACATGAGTGTTGTCATACATGTATGCTCCACATACTTAAGGTTGGGAAATTGTTCCCATTGCCTCTTTTTTCCAGCGTTGTTTCCCAATTATACAAACCTGCCTCTGGTAGTAAGCTCATCTCCAGAAGGCTTCCCTTTAGTGGAGAAGTAATTCCAGCCAGTGAACACTATGCAGGTCAGCACGTGTGCACTGTAAGCAGGGAGAGGCCTCTGGAGCCGACAGCTGCAGGCAGTTAGCTTAATACAACTAAACTCTGGTGTATATCCTAGATCCTTTGCGAATCTAATTACTGAAGACTATTACAGCATACTGCTTTCTCTAGTACCGATGTTTCTACAGGAAGCAGAGAGAAATGAAGCTGTATCAGGAGCTGAAGCTAGGAAGCGAACTAGGTTCTCACACTGGCCAGTACAAGCCACAACCTTGTCCAAACCTATAATGTGTTCACACCTCAGCAGAAATTCAAATTATTCTTGTCTTAATGCCTTGGAGTTGTGTGGAAGTAGTGAAGACCATACATGTTACATCTTAGAATGCCAAGTGTTTTCTGTACTTTTGTTTTATTATCATCATACTCTTTGCATCGAGATACATAGCAATGATAGGTTTCTTTTTAAAGCTTAGTATTAAATATTAAATATCTTTCCCCATTTTAATCTTACATTACTCTGCCAAGAAACAAAACATTAAAACTCAAGTTATCTGGAGCCTGGATGCACCTCCTTGATTAGCCAGGTTGGGTCAAAGTTGGTGGCTTTGCTCTTCCTGCTGTGTGAGCAGATCTGGGCCCGAGAAAGATGGACCCAGGTTCTACTTGTTTTTGAAAAGTGTGCTACAAAATGGTGGCCTGTTACAATCCAGATTACAAAGTAAGGACAGGGGTACTGGACGACGTTTTCTTCCAGGAAAAAAAAATTATGAAGAGTCCCAGTTTTTAATTTTTTTTTCCAAAAATGATCAGAGGAGGGGATAAAATCTCAACATGAGCTTCAAAGTACAGTCTCTCTGAGGGGCCAGTAGTTGCCAGGCCGGGGAGGGTGGTGGGAAGCTGTGCCCATCCCCACCCTCCCCAGCGGGCAGGAAGGAAGTGGAAGTTTATCTCCAGTAGGTGTGAAGGTGAGCTGAAGCTTGGTTGATACTGAATTCTCTAAGAGGTTTCTTCTAGAAACAGACAACTCAGATTCTTGCTCTCACTTCAGCAAAGAAGTTATTTTTAAAAGCACTTGGGAAGTTCCTCCTCCACCCTCAGGTGGGAAGGCTCAGAGGAGGGAGTCGTCAGTACAGCCACCTTCGAGGCCGTAACGGAATTCCTGAAGGTTGGAGACCCCATAGAAGTGAACGAAGGCTGCTGCCACCACCAGGACATGGAAAATCTGGTGAGACTGGAACTGTGGGGATAACATGAGAAGAGGCATTAAGACAATGGCAAGAAAGAGCTGGCAACAAGCAGGAAGAAGCATTTGCCTGATCTACACTGTCCTCAAGAATCCATTACGTAACACAAGTGATTATTATTTGAGGCAGAGAAACTTCAGAGTGTAATCCTTGTCACAAATACACCAAAACGCTACTACTGGCCATTTCCCCCAATGTACCCACAACAGCATCCCGCTTCTTGGCACCTTTCACTCAGACTTTATTCTCGGCTGGTCATCACCATGACAGGCCCCGCTGCAAGAGTCATTTCTTACCCAAATGTCAAATTTTCCAGGAAAGAAGCGCTCAGGAATGCGAGCAGCATAAAGGCCAGCTCCGGTGATGTACATGACAGCCATGAGGAAGAACCAGCCCATCTGGCCCACCGTGGTGGCCTTGACGAAGCCCTCGGCAATAGTAAAGTGCATGGTGGGCACGACGCCACTTAAGCCGAGTCCCAGGAACACACCTGAACAAAGCAAACATTCATTCATGCGCTAGGTTACAGCTCTCCCATGAGAGGCACTGCTGTCTCACTCTGCACTCTAACAGTCACGGCAACCTATTTCTCCTACATGTGATTTATATGATTTTACTTTTTACAGGAACAAATATCCGGTAATATTTTCATTATGTAATGGGGTACAGGCAAAAATGATAAGCGAAATCATTTGATGCATGCCATGGGTACAGAGCCAAGATGGCAAGATCTCAGCTGGTTCCCAAGCCAGGGAGGAGGCCATATTTCCCATTAGGATCATAAAAAGCTTGAGCAACCAGAATGCTGGGCCCAGCACTATGACCCAATGGCTAAATCCTCTCCTTACAAGCACCAGGACCCCATATGGGCACCAGGTTATGTCCCAATTACTCCATTTCCCATGCAGCTCCCTGCTTGTGGTCTGGGAAAGCAGCTGAAGATGGCCCAAAGCCTTGGGACCCTGCACTGCATGGGAATCCGGGAAGAAGCTCCTGGCTTTGGATCAGCTCAGCTCTGGCCATTCCAGCCACTTGGGAAATAAATCCAAGATGGAAGATCATCTACTTTTCCAATAAAAATAAATCTTTAAAAAAACAAACCAAAAAGAATGCAACCAGAATGCTAACTTCTTGGATAGACTGACACACCCAGAGTAGTAGCTACCTGTGTTTGCTGGACACACCCCACACTGCATATAGCCAGAGAGCAGGGGCCACCTTCTACATCTTGTAGACAGCTTTATTTATTTATTTAATTTATTTATTTATATTGCAAAGTCAGATATACAGAGAGGAAGATCTTCCATCCAATGATTCACTCCCCAAGTGAGCGCAATGACTGGTGCTGTGCTGACCTGAAGCTAATCAGGAGCCAGGAACTTCCTCCAGGTCTCCCATGTGGGTGCAGGATCCCAAGGCTTTGGGCCTTCCTCGACTGCTTTCCCAGGCCACAGGCAGGGAGCTGGCTGGGAAGCAGGGCCGCCGGGATTAGAACTGGTGCCCATATGGGATCCTGGCGTGTTCAACGCGAGGACTTAAGCTGCTAGGCTAACGCGCCAGGCCCATAAACAGCTTTATTCAGGCATGGTGCTTGGCATATAGATGGTACTGGATACATCTTTCATTTCTTCACATGTTGAATATTAAATATTATGTAACTTATAAATGTTTAAATAAAGGTTAAAAAAAAACCCTGTAGATAAAAGAATTCTAAAGGGGTTGAAGACTTGTGGTCATTGACAGTGCTGCTGCAAGTAATAAAGTTTAAGATAAGGATCCAGCTGAAGCATGAAGCAGCCTGTGGCCATGACGTCAGCTGTCCCAGTGTATATGCTCAAAGTACTTGACCTGCCAACCAGGGATCCCATTTCCTTCACAGAATCCCTCTGCACGTGGTCATCTGAATCCTCTGGTCCCTCTGCTCGGGCCCTGTCACTGAGATGATATGCCTGCTATATTTTTAACTATTTCAAACCAAGTTTAAGAGCAGCTAACTGATGAACTGTCCTATTAACAGCCTATCAAACAGTAGTAAGCTTGGCTTTAAAAACTTGAACCATGTTAAAATGTGCTAACAATCAAGGTTTAGGTGGGTCCCCAAACTGTAAGCCTTAGGCCCCAAGCTTGAGCCTGCCAGACTTACCTGCTCTTGTCTGCCGGTGCTTAGGGGTGGCAAAACGGTCCCACTGTGCCACGATGATGGCAGAAATGCCCAGAACACAGACGATGGAGAGGTAGATGAGCCGTGGCTGTGGGGAGCAGTAGAAGGAGTAATAGAGCCAGGGGACAAAGCTCCCCATAATCAGTAGAGCAATCCCTGAATAGTCCAGTCTAAAAAAGAATCACAGAAATGAAACACGTCAACACGAGAACCGAGAAGTGGCATGGCTCATTCCTCAGTCTCTCTTCACTTCCTCTACAATTCATCCTGTATCCGGAATTAAGATTCAAGGTCAAGCACTGCTATTTTAAAGTGGAAAAGCCAACTGGTATTGTGGCACAGTGGCGAACAGTGTTGGGGACACCCTCATTCTATGAGAATGCCTGGATTCAAGTCCCCCGTTTCTAGTGCAGTTTATTGCTAACGTGCACCCTGGGAGGCAGGAGGTGATATAGCTTAAGTACTTGGGTCCCAGAGAGCTGCGTGGGAGACCTCTGGCCCCCACTTTGGCTTGGCCTAGCTGTGGCTGTGTAGCCATTTGGGGAATAAAGTCGCATATGAAAACTCTTTCAGATAAGTTAAACTGGAAAAGGCTCTAAAACTTGCTGTGTGCAGACCTCCATCCCCTTAGTGGGTGCTGGAATTGAGAAGCTAGCCCCCAACATCACACTCAGAAGGGGCTCCAATGATTCCCCCATTCTGAAAGTATGAGCACTAAACTAAACTCCTTAGTTTAGGAATATTAGTAAGAGATATTTTGTTTGGTACTGTTTCATGTAACTTTTAAAGTGATGAAATGTATTCTTGTAACTGGTGTTACTGGGAGAAAAACCATCACCACCAAAACCAATCCAAACAAAACAAGCATCCAAACAGGAGCCCAGACTCAGAGCTGGCAGGAGGGCAAGCATGCGCTGATGGGCATCTAGGCTTCCAGCAGTGCATGGGCAGCCAAGATAAGCTCTACCTGATGGTGTAGGGCGCTGTGGCAGATGGAGCACACACTGTTCACCACACCCTGCCTGGGCTGGGCCAGCAGGAAGGCAAGCTAGCACTGGGTACAGGTCATTGAAAGCAGCCCACCAGTACCCCAAGTTCAAGAAAGAGTGCTGTTCAGGTAGAAGAGAAATTTCACTAATGTCTACCTGTTGAGGAGGTTGCAGGCTTTTTTTTTTTTCATGAAACATTTAAGAGAAAAGCTTTGTCATCCAACCATATGTACACAACAAGTCTTTCCTTTGGGGCCAGGTATTTAGTCCCATACTTGAGGCCTGCGTCCCACGCTGAAGTGCAGGAGCTCAATTCTCAGGCCTGCCCTCTGACTTCAGCTTCCTGCCAATACAGTCCCTGGGAGGCAGTGGTTAGGGTTCAAGCAACTGGGTTCCTGCTACCCAAGCGGGTGACCAGGATTGAGTCCCTGTCTCCTGGCTCCAGCCCGGCCTGGCCCAGCCCAGCCCTCACCCCAGGAGGCATTCGGAGAGTGAATTAGCAGATGCAGACACTTCAGGAGTTAAAGACCTTCACCACCAGGATCATGGTGTGACAGCAGTGTTGGCCTTGTCCCACTGCTGTGCCTTCAACTCACTTGGAAAAAGTCCGAGAGACTTTCTCTGAATGACAATAGACGGTGTGGAAGAGCCAGGAGAAACTGAGGCACAGCACTGCACCCAAAAAGAACATCCCAAACACCACCTTCTCCTGGAGAGGGGCCATGAAGTACATATTTGGTCTGAGCATGGTCAAGATTCCCAAAAAGAGAAACAGCACAAAACCTATGGGAAGGAAAAAGAAAAAAACAAAAAGCTGTGAGGAGAAAGTACACACTGATGGTGGATGGTTATAAATCAGTGAACTACTGGATCAGAAGTTTAAACCAGTTTTGGGAACTCTAGTCAAAAACTTCATGGGAAAAAAAATTAGTCATAAAACAAAACAAAAAAATAAGAAACAAAACAACAAAAAGATAATTGTCTGAAATGTGGGCTTTTTAAACCATGGGAAGTTATGAACTAAAGAAACAGCCTCCGTCTATAACAGTCCTGCCACAGGTCACAGAACTCTATTCCTACATTCTCCTGTTTCTAGTCTTCGGCCTCCGGTCTTTAAAATCAGTAACTGAAGATTGACCAAAGTCACTGGGAATTTAAAGACACAACTCCAGCGGCTAGCGCTGTGGTGCAGCAGCTTATGCCACCGTATGCAACACCAGCATCCCATTTGAGTGGCAGTTTATGTCCTGGCTGCTGCCCTTCCAATCCAACAGCCTGCTGATATACCTGGGAAAACAGCAGAGGATGGCTCACGTTCTTGGGCCCCTGCACCCACGTGGCACAGTCTCATGGAGTTCTAGGCTCCCGACTTTGTCCTGCCCTAGCCACTGTGGCCATTTGAGGAGTGCAATGGATGGGAGATGACTGCCTCTCTATCTCTGTAACTCTGCTTTTCAAATAAATAAATGAGTCTTAAAGGGGGGGAGGAAGGCACAACTCCAGCTATCAGTACAACTACACTGATTTTCCTTGCAATGGACAAAGATAACACAAACTTCCCTTGGCAGATAAGGAAACACAATTTGGACTTCCCTCCCATCCAAGTCACTCACCAAGCAGATGGGTCCAGATATTGCCAGTTTCCGTGTGGATGCGGAAGATGCTCTTGAAGCAGGCCCGAAAGGAGGGCATGGGTGGTCTGTGCCCGTGAAGCAAGTAGTCATTGTCCTTGAGCCAGTCAGGCAGCACATCATAGGGGATGACCCTCCAACGTCCCTCCCAGACCTAGAACAGATACACTCACTCTAGCAGAGCTGGGAAAATAGTGCTTTCTCCAGGGCAGGCAGGAGAGGAAGAGCTCATGCAGGAAGGCGTCAGTTGGGTAAGAGGAGGGAACTAGCATGGACTGGGAGACAAGGCACAGCTGAGTGGGCGAACACAGTGCTGACTCACATCCTGATCACTTTAAAATCATTTTGTCTTGGGGTCCAGCACGGTGGCCTAGCAGCTAAAGTCCTTGCCTTGCATGCGCCAGGAACCCATACGGGCATCGGTTCTAATCCTGGTTGCCCTGTTTCCCATCCAGCTCCCTGCTTGTGGCCTGGGAAAGCATTTGAGGACGGCCCAAAGCCTTGGGACCCTACACCCGTGTGGGAGACCTGGAGGAAGTTCCTGACTCCTGTCTTCAGAGTGGCACAGTTCTGGCTGTTGCAGCCACGTGGGAGGAACGACTGGACGGAAGATCTTCCTCTCCTCCTCTCTGACTTTCCAATAAAAAATTGAATGAAATAAATCTTTAAAAAAAAATCATTTTGTCCTTGTTTCGTGTCAGTATATCTGGATATGCTTAGGCACATGTTTTCAACTTTTTAAGGAGATATGGCACATTTCTTTAGGCTACTTGAAAATTTAAAATTAAAACAGTCAATAAAGATAAAATGACTTACCCTAATTAACTATGCCAAGATTGTCAAAAATATAATAAAAAAAGGGGGGAAAAAAAAAGATAAAATGACAGACCAGGTCCCTTCTAGGCCCTCTTCCTTTAGGAGATGGACCCTGGCTCCGCCCTCTCCCACAGTTAAGATTCTGAGTTCTTTTAGGCTGGGACTTCCCCACAGGAGCCTTCATCTAGGTTTCAAGCACAACAGACAACTCCTGGGGAGCGGATGAAAACTTACACAGAAGAAAGTATCTTGTTTTCATTTGCCTTTAACTGAATTTCCAGTTTTCCTCATGCCCAGATATAGAAGTAGTAGAACTGATGGCTCTGTCTCCATTGAGAGCTCAGAGGCTTTCACGAACTTATTTTGCTGATATCTCAAAATATTCCTTACTACTTAAAAATTGCCATTTTAATCCATTCGAGTTCACCATGAATGCCTACGTACTCCACTGTAGCGTGCTCACACATATTAGCAGAGAACAGCCAAGAACCCCCTTGTAGAGTATATCTGGAAGAGGGCCTGAAACAGTAACCACTGAACGTTTAGCCAGTCTGCTTTGAACTGATTTACTTCACCTTCAGCAACAAACAATCCCACCCACGGGGTGACAGTGCCTCCACCCACGACAGCCTGCCACTGGGGACACCCCAGATAAGCCTGCCATCTCCCCACTGCATGACCAGGCTCTAAAACAGCACCTTGTACACAAACTCTTCCATCTTCTCCATGGCGTGGTGGGCCTGCAGGGGGAGGGTGAGCACCCGCACCTCCTCTTCCTCTTCCTGGGGCACAGGGCATGTTTGCTCCTCTTCAGCCTGTAGGAAAAAAGCAAACATACAACACTAACACTCATCCAGGAAGTCTATTCCAGATCAGACACAGCCCGAGAGGCCCAAGCCCAGTACTTCTCATCCAGCCTCCCTCCTGTATGGGGCCAAAAGCATGACATGAAGATGCTTCACAGAGTTCTTGGTCAATGGAAATAAAAAGATATTTAATATGAGGAGTATCCAAAAAATTCCTGGGCATGCACCACATTGGGACGCTGCATTGATAGCGGGTACTGGGGATGGTTAAGAGGCTGGGTATGGTGTCTCCCCTCTCCCCCTAGAAATGGGAAGAATACAAAGTTCGGAAACAATGACCACACTCACTTTTCCCTGACCCTGGATCCTTCCCACCCTGATAAACTATGTACACATCATCTAAAATACTACTACTACTACTACTAATAATAATAATATGCTCAATTGGCTAATCCTACATTTCCAAGCATCAATATCCCATATGAGCGCCAGTTCATGTCCTGGCTATTTCACTTCCCATTCAGCTCCTTGCATGTAGCCTGGAAAAGCAGCAGAGGGTGGCCCAAAGCTTTGGGGTCCTGCACCTGTGAGAGACTTAGAAGCAGCTCCTGACTTTAGATTGGTTCCTGATGCTGCGGTCATTTGGGAAGTCATCAGTGGTTGGAAGATCTCTGTCTTTCCTGTCTGTAAAAATCTGCCTTTGCAATGAAAATAATAAATCCCTACCAAAAAACAAGAACAAAACAACAACAACAAAAACAACCACAAAAGCTCCTAAAAATGTATATTATGAAAAACTGCAAGTATAGATTGCCAACTTTTTCATACCAAAATACACTCATCTTCATATTCCCCTGCTTTTTAAAAACTGTTGAAGTACCTTCCTACTTACTGGGTTCCCAACACTGTGGCATGAGATTTATGAACACTTTGAAATGAACGAAAGTTCCACTGCACTTTCACTGGTATCCTGGCAGAGCCAACAGCAGAGGGACACAGGATGAGCACACCAGCCCCACGTGTTCTTTAAGAGTCAAAGGGCCCATCCTTTTCAAGCACTGCAGTCTCAAATTCCCCAACTTCCCACAGTTCTTTCAGACACCACACTTTGAAAAGGATAAAGCAGACACAGAGTCTCATCCAGTTCCTTCCTTAACCCTGCTGCTGGTCCTGTGAGCTGACCCTGGGGATGCTCTCCTGGATGCAACTTTGTATCCATGCAGACTCCCAGGAGGCTTAGGGCTCAGACTGGCTCCCAGAGAGCAGCAGAATGCCGCCACAGGAGGAGCTGGTCTCAGTCCCAAGGCTCTGGACCATGAGTATGGCACAGGGACAGTTCAGCTCCTTTTCTGGGAGGCTCCTTCTTTCTCCTGAGAAGAATCCCTGGTAAACACATGGTTGTCTTTAGATTCTGATGCAGATTTGGCCTTGCCTATCCCAACATCCATTCTTTACCTCTTCCTTGGGAAGTCCTTAGTTTTTCTTCGGGGTGGCAGTGCTACTAAGGCCCAAGGAAAAGACCACATCCAAACCTCCACTGTGGCTGGAGAGAGCCGTAATTACATTCTGGCTCCAAGTGTGACAGAGTGGGGAATGTCTTCAAAAGGGACACAGCTTTCCCCATCGCTTGTGGGTAGACTGTGAGTATGATGAGAACCATGTCGAGAATGACTAGCAGGGAGATGGCCCCGGACAGCAGTAGAACCTCTCCCATGCACCTGTTACCTGCAGAATTCTCACACCTTTATTTTCAATTGGAAAGAGGAGAGACAAAGGTCTTCCCAACTGCTGGTTCACTAAGTGGCTGCAACAGCTAGAGCTGAGCTGATTTGAAAACAGGAGCCAGGAACCTCTTCCAGGTCTCCATGCAGGGTGCACAATCCCAAGGGTTTGGGCCATCCTCTACTGCTTTCCCAGGCCAGGAAGCTGAATGGGAAGTGGAGCAGCTGGGACATGAACCAGCACCCACATAAGATCCTGGTGTGTACGCAAGGCGAGGATCTAGCCACTGAGCCATTGTGCTGCGCCCAACAGTCTCACACTTGAGAGATTCTGTATCATCAGAATGATAGGAAATTATATTTCTACTTGAAGTCAGACCTAATCCTATCTGCCTGCTTCCTTCCCAGTTGGTAACTGGTGACTTCCTGGCTCTCAGAGCTTGTGTTAAACTCTAGGGTTACACAGATGAGTGGAAAAAAACAGGCAAAAAAATGGTGACAACATCTTGTACACAGATGTTCCAGGGTGTTCCATTTCTGCTTCTTCAGGGGAGGTGAGATCCTAAGGCACAAAGACCAACAACGGGCCAAGGAGAGAGCGGCTGCAGAAGGACTCCCCAGGAGGGACTTACTTTTGTGGGGCTGGTGATCGCCCGCTTGCCCTTCTCCTCCAGCAGGGGTCCCAGTTCGGTCAGTTCCACTGAGTCGGCTTCCCTGTTAGCGGCAGGCGCCCCATTGCCTTGCGCCGCCGCGGATCCTTTGTGGGAAGACATCTGGCTGGTGCAGCAGGACCCTGCAGCTTCAGCCTGCAGGAAGGCTGGGGGTCCCTCAGCCCCCAGTGGCAGAGATCTCCCTGTGATGGTCCAAGCTGAAGGTAAACACAGCATAAGGTTGGTGGTGGGTCCTCTTACAGCCTCATCTCCCTAATTCATTATCAACTAAGACACAGCTATAATTAACTCAGGTCGTGTCTTCATTTCTAAGGGTCAACTAATGGCTGAGATGGATTCTGTTCCTATCCTGTCTTCCACAGCTTTCTTTATTAAGAATCTGCTGGTCCTGCCGACATGGATGTGAACACCTACACCTGGGCACTTGCCTTTAAAGAAGCTATGTTACCACACCGCATTATCACCAAAGAAACAGCTACCCTCTCCCCCCTCCCTTTCGCAAGTGTGGAGTCCACATGGCAGAATGGTCTTGCCCACCAGGAAGAGAAACGTGATGCCAACTTTGGGCTGCTGGCCAGACCACCACCCAGACAAAACGCCAATGGACTCAGCTGTGCTCTAGCTATGAGTGCTCTGACAATGTGTCCTGAAAACAAAAGGCACTCGGTTGTGGGAGGGATGTCCAGTGGGGTAACTGCTTTGTAGGATCTGCTAATTCTATAGGCATTCTAGGATTATAGCCTGGCTCCCTCAGGATAACAAGATTTCATCACAAGCTCCCCTTAAGCAAGCAACAGCTTACCTGGAAGCGGGAAGTTGAAGGCCAGCAAGCAGCCCAGGTTTGCCCTTTGTCAGACATCCTAATAACCAGCTCTACAGAGCCTATCCCAACAACCAAAGCCCATTAGCTATGCACCACTGGGTTCAGGTTTTCAGAAACTAGAGACAGACACCCTTTAGAAAAAACCGCAGAAACCCAGGATTCAGTTTTCTAGGAGAAGTCATAAAAATATGTTGGGTTCTTGGGCTGGTCTTTGAGTAGAAATGTCAAATCAGGCCTTAGAGAGATGCCAATAATATAAAAAAGAGCAAGATGTTTCCAAAGATGTTTACTATACTGTAAATTATGAGTTCTCCCCCCTCCCAAGGACTGTATTACTCATAGGGAAGCTGTAGGCAGGTATTAGCGTTTTCTTGCATTGGTTACCCAAGCCCCAGTAACCACAGGCCACTGCAAAGAAGGCCAAGCAACACCTGCACACGGAGGGAGCTGGCTACAGGAGAGGTCACTTCACTCCCATACAAGACGCTCTATTGTTCACGGTTGTTCATTATGCACACAAACATCTTTGGCATCTTGTGGTAGAGTAATCATAAATTCTTCTCAGGGACTGTAACTGGATAGATATAATCATGTGTGATGGTTACTTTTACACGTAGGCTTACATAGATTCAGGAACACCCAGACAGCTGGCAAGGGTACACCTATGAGCTTGTTTCTAGAAGACTAGTAGAGTAAGGGACATCTGCCCTCACTCATCGTGGGTGCTACCATCAAATGGGTTGAGGGTCCAGCTGAACAGAAGGGCAGAATTCATTTCTCTCCCTCTGCTGCTGCCTTCTTGCTCTCAGCAGGACACACTGCTTCTGCCTTGGACATCAAGAGCTTCAGATTCTTCAGCCTTCGGGAACATCAGGTGGGACGAGTGGCAGCAGCCCCCCATGGCACTGAGACTTACCCCACCAGCATCCCTAGTGCTGAGGCCTTTGGATGTGGATAGGGTCAGACCACCAGCATTGCACATGGCCTACCATGGGACCTACTCTCAATAATCCCACAAGCCAGGTACTCCACTAAGTTCCCTCTCGTCCATCTGTCCATCCACCCACCCAATCTACTGGATCTGTCTGGAGAACACTGGCTAATCTAACTCTGTCCTCAAGTGAGCACAGCCCTCAAGCTTCAAAACAGTCAACAATCGTGCTATATGCTCAACCTGCAGCCATAGCTGAAAGCAATAGGCAAATCCAGCCCAAGACAACAATCACCTTCATGTGTTGTCAGCACAGACAATCCCGCTTCCTTTAAATATGGAAGATTCCAGCAAGACACAGGCCAGCCAGCAGTGGAGCATGGGGAGAACAGGAAGCTGGGCCCCCAAAGAACCTCAAGAGATATGTTACGAAATGTTTCTCAACAGGCTGACCTCAAAACAGGTTTCCGCCAAAGGATGTGCTACTGAATAAACAGTTTCGTTAAGAAGTAATTTATACTATGAGCAAAAATGTACTGAGCTTTGGTCATGTTGGAGAAGTCAGAAAGGAGAAGCACATTTAGTTTAAAATCCTGTAGAGCAGGCTGCCAAGGCAGACAGAAAACAACAGAACCATCCCAGTTTCTGGGAAGCAGTGCCACACAGGTCACAAAATGACACGCCTCTAATTGGGGTCAGAACTCAGTGGCATAAAGAGATCCAACTTCTCTGCTGTGGGCAGGCAGACCAAGAGAGCCTTTCAAAACATAGGTGCACATTATGCTCTTTAACTCTTAGGTTGGACAATGAGGCTGCAAGGATTAGAGGCAAAGTCAGTCGCTATTCTTACTCTTCATTTGATTTAGAAGTTTTATGTCCTCAAGTCTCTTGCTCAACATGAAGTTCTTCCCTTTCTTGTCCAAACCGCTTTTTGCTAATTTCCACCACCTGCACATCTTCCAAAGCCAGTGCCACCAAACCTGATGGACACTCCAGTGACAACACAGAGCTTCCATCAGCTACAACTCATCATATAACTTCTCTGTCCTGCACTGAGGCACACACAGTGGAGGTCAATAGAGACCAAACCATTTGAGTGAGCCAAGTCTACTGTCCAGTTTGATCTCCTAAGTTGTAGAAACACAGGGACAAGAAAGGGAGAGAGAGGGATGGGAGGCTTGGAAGGAAGAGCGAATGACAAAAGATCCTGAAGGTATCACTTCTCTGGGGCAGCCCACTCACAGCCAATCAGGCATTGCAAGCGACCGTCTTCATCTACTATACAAAATCAGCACAACCTCCTAGCATATTAGACTGATTGTGGGAGATGCAGGCTCAGAGCCAAAGTACACTTCAGCTTTCTGCCAGCCTTCTATGTGTTGAAGTCCTTCAGAGGAAACATCTTTTCCCTCAAACCAGCCACACCCAACACAGCACATCACAATAGAGCTGAGTGCATTTCTGATGGGATTTCCTCAACTCCGGCTAATAACTGCAGCCACTAAGCTTTCCCATTGGATAAACCGAGGATATTAGAGTGTAAAGCTGTGGAGGCAGGGAGGCAACTGTGCTCCCACAATAAGATAATCCTGTGCCAAACTTGGGGGAAAGACTGATTCTAGAGCACCAGCCAGTTATTTCCTGTACAGGCTTTGGAAACTGCAAACCCATTTCCAAGTTTTCCAGGCAACAGCCTTCGTCAAAGCACAAAGCTGCTTCGAGAAGTTTTTCTACCCGAGATCCTCAGGCAATTCAGTAGGTACCATGCATCCATATATGTCTCACTTGATTTTCACTATTCTACATCTAAAACTATTTAACACTACAAAGCACATGGCTTTCCTCTCTACACTGTTAAGGAGAGTGGCTTTCTAAATCTGCTGGGGAAAAACGAGTCACAGCAAAGCCCATATTTGAGATTGCCCGACAGTGACTAGGGACTGCTTCCTTTGCAGCTCTCCCCACAGGAGAGGTCTTCTGGTCCCTAACGTCAACTCTCCTAATGTCATGATGCAAAAACTAAACAAACTGTACACAGCCATGGGGGGGGGATTTCAATACCTCTTTTTCAAACACATTTGTAGGAGACACAACACACAACATGGTACTCCTTTTACATTGTGCACCCCGGAGGCCCCTGTGAAACAAAAGCAAAGTGTGTGCAGAGCTGGGGAACACGCTCAACGACTTGTCTGGCAGAGCCTAACAACAGAGATGACCCCCAGCGCTGGGTTGGGGGAGAGGGTGCCACGGCGTTAACAAGACTTCGGCTACAAAAACAGCTGGTCGCCTTACAGTGTGACAAGTGCGAGGGGAGGGGTCACGTGGCAAGAGTGTTAACAGCGTGTCCGAGACAATCTCGCAAGAAAGCAGAACACAGGCACCGACTTAGAACGAAGGGCAAGTTATATTCTTCATGCATCTCAAGACACCCACGGGCTGTTGACAACGACAATGTATGGTGGTGTGGCTACAGGGAGAAGGCAGCGAGCGGTGCCGAGTGGTGCCGGAGATTTGAAACGACCCTATTTTGAGAGGGAGAAATCGCTTTCCAATATCACTACAAGGCTAAGTGCTGAAGGAACTCAGAAGGAAAGCGGAGTTTCTTTTTTTTTTTTTCCCTAGAAAAGTTCCACTTCAGTTGACGTGACCAGGGAAGAAAGGATCTCTAGAAGGAAGAATCGTGATGGGCAGAGCTGGGAGCAGGGTGTTCCAGAAAGGTACAAAGGGTACAAAGTGAACCAAAGCAGGAGCAGGGAAGGACACAGCCCTAGGCAGGAAATAATCCACTTTTTCATAGAGAGCCTGGCAAAGGTAAAACGAGGCCAGGCTGCATAAACTAAAGATAGCAGTAAAGCCTACTTAAGGTGGTGGAGTTCCTCCATTGGCGGCGGGGGGTCTCCCGGATTCTGCGTCTCTCCTAACCGGTTGGCAAACAAGTTTCTTTGGAAATTACACAATTTCTGGACCCTCTTCCCCCCAGTCGGTACAGTTTTCATGCACCTCTGCCCTAAAACAGACAGCACACGGGTACTTATGACTGGCTCCCTGAGGGCTCCCCACAACATGGGCACACCGAGAAACGTCGTGGCTGTAAGCCGGCAGGTCTGACGCTGCAGTCTGCTCAGCGCCACCAGCCCGGCTAGCTCCTCATTGGGTATGACTGCTATAGCATCCCAGCCACGGCAGCTGCACCCTCAAAGCCTACAGAACACAGACCCACCGGGCTTCATTCTGGAAAACAACACAACCCGGCCATTCCAGTCCGCATTCGAAATCCAAAGCCCCATCTAAAGCCCTGCAGCCTCCTTTCGCCCTGCGTACACTGCACCCCACCAAACTGTGAAAGCTGAAATTCTCCTGGCCCCTGGAAGGTGGGCGACCGGTCGGCGCGGACCTGCCAAGACCGTGGGCCGAGGACCCTTATCAGGGCGTCCCGGCGTCCCCAGCCCCGCACCCCGCTGCCCAGGCGCGCCGCCAGGGCCCGAGGCGCGGCTCCTGGCTGACCCAGAGCCCCGGCGGAGGCCGCTGCACTCACCGCACGTCGGGGCACGGCCGAGACGCGCAGCCCACCCGGCCCGAGCTGCGTGCAGGCCGCCAGGGAGGCGGCGCGCGGTGGGAGGGGCCGGAAATGTTTACAACCCGGCCGCCGGGAAGCCCGAGGCGCGGCCGGCTCCAGGGGCCACGGCCTGGGACCCTGGGAACACGGGGCGCGGGAGGGACGCGGCGGTCGCTCCCTCCGCGGGGACCGGCTGGACTCCGGGACCCGCGCTCGGGCCGAGGGCCCGCCCACCACCGGCCCCAGGGGAAACTTACGGCTGGGCGGGCAGGCTCGGCTTGGGGGCCGGGGTCCCCCGCGCTACATGCCGCGGCGCTGGAGGCCGCCTGCGGCCGAGCAGCCGGATCTTAAGCCCCCTCCCCGCGCCGGAAGGGGCGCGCGACCGCGCAGCGTCACCTCCGCAGCCGCGTCACCCCTTCGCGGGCCCCACCTCGCCCACTCCAATTCCAGACATCCCTGCTGGACTCCCAATCACAGGCCTGCTCCCTCCAGGTCCCACCCCCTAGGACCGCCCCAGAGCCCGAGCCGCCCTCTGAGCCCGCCCCCAGCACTAGGCCCGGCTCCGCCTCTAGTTGTAGGACCTCCCCTGGCCCCGCCTCGAACCTCGCCCTCAGCGCTAGGCCCAGCCCCGCCTCGAAGACCCCGCCCCCAGTACTAATTCCGGCCCCTCCGTGAAGACTCCGCCTCCAGGACCAGGCCTGGCCCCGCCCCCAGCACAAGAACCGCCCCCAGCCCCGCCTCCGGCCGTCCTCTCGGCCCCGCCCCCGGAGTCTGGGAACCCTGGTGTCCCTCATTCCCTGTGTTGGTGCCTACTGCTCCAATCCCTAACACTTCTCTAGGCTGACTGGAACGCGTGACGGAGAAAGAATTTCGGAGGATTGGGCCTAGCCCTGGGAAGGAATGTCGAGATTCCTAACCTACACATCTTGTCCTCCAAGCCAGGACAGAACCTACACGGCTAATACTCATTCTGAGTGTGCCGCCTCCGGGGGACTGGGAATTTACGCAGTTCCCTCCAGTGTGGCAAGACCCAGGGACTCAATCTTAACCGGCACTTAGGAGCGCAATCTTCCCTGGAGACCTAGGTTTCTGTCCCCTGTCGGCGTATAGCTTAAGCACCCCTCCAGACAACAGTGCCCTCAACCTGACAAATGGGAGAAACCAGTGCTGCCCCTAGATGAGGTGAGGTAACTCGTGCGGACGGGTCTCCTCCACCATGTTAAGGATGATGGTGTTGCCTGCTGTGTGAAAGCCCGGTCCCCCTGCTCCTGCAGGCCCGCATTTCCCGCAGGCCTGTTGGGCTCTCCAAAAGCGAACTTCTCTTTCACTGCTCCGGGCTTTTGCTTTTGTTGACTTTCCCTCTGTTACCAGAAAAGCCTGGTGGATTCTTCCCTCAGCTTAATACAGAAATAAAAAGCTGGGAACCAGTTGCAAACAGAGAAGTTTTGTTTGCAAAGTGACCAGGTGAGCAGGGAAAAGAAGAGGAGAAAGTCTCCTGGAGGTGGGGTGCCTCTTCAAAGGTTTGAGGAAGGGTCTCGGGATTTTCAGTGTTCCCTGACCCCTCTTTGTTGGGTGGGAACCTAAGACAAAAGGTTCCCCATTGGTGGTCTCTTAACCAGTTAGGAAATGGGTGGGCAATTTTTTTGAATATCTGATTATTATTATTGTCTTATTTTAGATGATGTTAACATAGTTGATCAGAGTGGGATGATTCAAGGGTTAGGGAAAAGTGGGTGTGATTATCATTTCCAAACTTTCTATTTCTCCTTCCTGTTTGGGGGGGATAAGGGAGAAGCCATACCCAGCCTCCCAACCACCCAGCACCCAGGGATAGGGAATGGCCACCCAATATCAACCCAGGGTTTCAATGTGACACACATTCCAGGGTTTTGCCCAGGTGGTTTCGATAGTTCTGAAATGTTGTCAATCTTATCTAAGGATGAGGGAACACCTGCAATGTCCATTAGCTGACATAGTCTACCTTAGAGTCTCCATTTGCCCAGATATTTGCTGTCATCATTTGGCTGGGGCAGTTGTCCAATTTGTCCTGTCCTTCCTCTTAGATGGTACAGATGGCCTCTGAAGGCCTCAATGGGCTGCCACACCTTCCATGTGGATCTGGGCCAGCTGTCCACTACTCCGCCTTTTCCGCTGAGGAGGATTGGTTCCCGCAGGAGGACCAAAGACCTGAGCCAGTCAACCCACGGGGCTCACAGACCCAGCAACTACTGCACAGGCAGACCCAAGGACCTGGGCCCCACTGGACTCAGGTAGGCAGTTCTTGTGCCACCCACTTGCAGGTGTGGCCAGAATTTCAGTGGGCTTGGTGGTCTCACCCTCTGTACCCCACCTTCTCTGTCAAAAAGCAGCTGACCACTTTCTGGTTATAAGGTTGGGTTTGGCTCTGCCTATCTCAAATTCAGATACAGGCTCTGCCAGCCACTGACCAGTTGTGTAAATGCGTAATCTTTGACTCAGACAATTATCTATCATAAGGCTTAAGCCATACAATGTAGAGTTGTTAGCATAGTATCCAGTACATGGCTGTGAGCCAAAATATATTAATTGTTTCTCTTTTTTCTCTGAATTATTCTCATGTCTTTCCTCTCTGTCTGCACCTGCTGGTTTGGTCTCCTTTAGTGTTAGTGACACTGTTGTATTGTCACTTGTCTTAGTCTGAGCTCTCTGGGGGTATAAGACCAGTCTTGCTCACAGGTGTACCCTCAAGGCCTAGCACATGACAGATTCCTAAGTGTTGGGAAAGGAAGGGACCCACATGAATCAAGGGTTGGTGAACTTCCATCTAGGAAATTCTGCTTGCTGAGTTGCCCCCCCTAACTGAACTTAACAATTGTAAGCCAGATTTGCCTTCCTAGAGGCTGGCATTGTGGTGCAGTGAGTTAAGCTCCCCTACCCCGATCCTACACTGGTTCAAGTCCTGGCTGCTCTACTTCTGATCCAGCCCCCTGCTAATATACCTAGGAAAGCAGTAAAAAATGGCCCAATTACTTGGGCCCCTGCACACACCTGGGAGACCCAGAGTTCTGAGCTCCTGGCTTCCAAGCTTCAGTCTGGCCTAGTGGCTATGTTGAGAATGAATCAGTAACTGATCCTGCTCTCAAATTAGTTAAAAAAAAAAAGTTTGCCTTTCTAGAGTGCAGCCCAGATTATCTTAGGGAGCAAAGCCATACTGCTCAGCCATGATACCACCCGCTGGATCCCCTCAACTCTGCTCTGGGGAGGGCTGGCTTCTGGGGACCTCCAGGGTTTCTCTCAGGGGCCTCAGAGACAACACCAAACAGCTCCATGCAAAAAGGCTGGCGCCCTCTCTCCTGAATCAGATGTATAGTTTTGCCCCAGCAGATCAGCAAGAAGAATTTGAAGCTACTGACCTGGGGGAAGGGCGTAGTTTGGGTCACACACCAATGGCAGAGGTGGACACTTGGAACAGAGGGACCCGGGAAGCCATCCCTGTCCAGGCATCAGTAGGCCTGGTGGAGGCCAATGATGTCAGGTTACTTTTTAAAGCAGGCTTCTGTGCCATATGACAGGATGACACAGATTTGTTTGCCAGGTACCCCAAAGAATAAATGTGAAGACAGGACCAGGAGAAGAAAGTGGGGGGAAGCCAAGTCAGGAGACTACCATGAGGGGTACCAAGGCTCAGAAATACCCTGTGGTGTGTGCCCTCTGTCCCCCACTCAGGATCTTCCGGAGAGAAGCTGAGCCCTAGCCTGGCTGGGAACAGCTGCTGCTGACCAGATCAGCTCACATTTCAGCTCTGAAACACTCAGGAGAACTCTGTGCCTGGAAGCCCTTCCTTCTAAGGCCCTCAGGCATCTGGAAAAGAGCTCCTTACACAATAATACCTTAAGGTATTACTCGTGGCCTCAGCCCCATTTATTTGCAGAACCAGAGGTTCCCGCCACAACCAACTTCTTCAAAGATGAGCAGCCACTTTCCTCTTGCCTGGACAGAAGCACACTAATAAGCCTTTGAAACTCCTTTGCTGGAGATCCAGGGGCATGGAGAAACCATTTTCTTCTTTCAAGGCATCTCCAGAAGACAATCTCTGTAGGCCATTGCACTTGACCCACATACCCATCTACAGACTCTGCACTAGAGGGTGAGAGGACGATTAAGTGAAATATATCAGAGACCAGGAGAAGTCAGGAGAATGATGCCATCAAGGATCCAGGCCATCTTAGAAAAAATGTCCAGGTTCCCTTCCTTCCGACTCTGCAGGCCTCAACTGGGTCTTTAATCATTGGGAGATTTGTGGGGCATTCCAGGGAACCCCTCAACCCTGGCCCTTGCCCATTACTACGGGAATGCTGTGCCTGCAGGGACCACCCATCTGGACGTCAGTTCTGGAGAAACATTCAAAAAGCTGATCAGTCTTGTGGAAGACATAGAGGGCTCAGGGCACTGCAGCGCTCGCAGTAAAGCCAAGGGTTGCTCAGTAGGTAAATCTCATCTTCTGCGAGTAACCCAGCTTGTCCAGGTTGGGGTGGCAGGCCAGTTGCACCATCGGCGGCGGCCCACAGAGCAGCAGCAGCACATCATTGCCAGGCGCTGGCAGGTGCTCCCGGATCATCTCAGCAGTCACAAAGCCCTTGCCGTAGTCCCAACCTGAAGCACAAGAGGGAAGTGGGGAGAAGAACTGAAGCTCAAAGAACGAACAGGCCCATTGGGAAGGGCCTTGACAAGCTATCAAGCTGTGGCAGCAACCTGCCACTGATCCAATAGATAGAAATCAGGAAGGAGGAGTTCAAGAGACTGAGAGGGGCTGGCGTGGCAGTGGGAGTTAGGCAGTGAAGCCAGGATTGAGGAGCAAGGCCTTGGTTCTGATGATGAGATGATCTGGAATTAGGGCTAGATGGGTGGGAGGGGATGGGTACCTTCTGGGGGATTATCCAGGGTGAGCCAGAGCTTGAAGCGACTGGGGTACCGGGCCTGCAGTTCCTCCAGGTCCTCTCGCAATATGATGTCCTTTTCCGTCTGGAATGCAAAGGAGATGCAGTTTTGGGGAGACTTCTCAGGCCCACATGAGAAAAGGCCTCTGCAGTGACAACTTCTCAAGAGAGAAAAGAAGGCTAAAAGAAGGCTAAAGTTTCTGGGACTAAGCAAGTCTTGCAGTGCTTTTAGGGTGTGTTCGGGTGAGGGGAAGGAGAGGAGCAGCCCCTCTGCTCACATTATGAAGGAAGATTGGTTGGTTTATTTAACCAAGAAGACACAAGTCACTACGATCAGCACAAGACGCCTTCCATGTTTTCTTTCCTCCAGGGCCTGGCAGTTTGGCTCAGGGCTCCATCCCCTCTCTTCCTTTATAGTGGCTTGTAGAGGGAACCCTGGGGAGAGGCTAGGACAGACAGTAGGCCCGTTCTGCCCAACAGAACCACATCTGTCAGTCCCATTCATACAACATCCTAGAAGTCCCAGGAATGGGGAGTGCAAACCAACCTGGTTGGCAAAGAGGAGAGAGCACTGGGTTGGATCCTCAGGGTCCTTCAGGATGGCTCGGATCAGCTGCAGCATTGGGGTGATTCCTGCAATGAAGACCCCCTCAGTGGGATGCGGTGGCAGCATGCTAGACCCTGCCAAGCTCCTTCCTTTTCAGTCCTACCCATGCACAGCCCCTCTCAATATTCCTCCAGTAAATTCTCCGACTCCCTCCAGCAGATCCTCCAAAACTTGTCTTCTTAGACACCTTCAGTAGTCACACTAAGTTTCTACTGTGGAAGCCTTGCTAGGAAGCCACACGAAGACTTCCTCTGAGTGTCCTCTGGAGAGCAAGGCTCAAATGCCACAGATGGTGAGGGGACTTCTTGATTCAGGGACAAGAGCCCTGGAACACTGGGCTGGGAAGAAGTTACATGCATGTACTTTGCAGACAGGTAGATCTGGGTACTAACCCTGCCTCTAATTAGACAAGCCCATGGAAATCATTTAAATAATTTAACTTCTCTGAATCTCCAGTTTACTTCACACATCATGTCTAATACACAGAAGTGGATTGGCCTAAGCAGGGTCTCCTACTAGTCCACATGATACCTAATACTTGGAAGTGTCCAACAGTGACGTGTTTTCCTCCTGGCTGTCCATTGCCAAGTGCTTCTCCTAATATTCACCTAATGATATTAGAGCCATTCAATGTGAAGACAGCTTTGCAGGATTCATTGCTGTTTTTCTACCTGGTTTCGACCTGCTTATGGCTATGTTTCCCAGAAGTTTAGGCATTGCCGGGATTCCCCTGGCTAACAGCTTAGCTACAACTACCACATCTCCAGAGGGTCCATTTAGAGTCTTCATGGCCACAATCAAGAAAGGTGGGACAAAGGGCCCCTCCAAGTGACACACACCTGTCCCTCCTGCGATCATTCCCAGTTTCTTTGCCACTCGGGGTTCTGGTGGAGATTTCTTATTAGGTTGAATGTGAAAATTCCCTAGGAAAAGTCAAGAGAAGAGAGGAATTAGACAAAGTCAAAATAAGGGATCGAGAAAACAACAGGAAAATTGAACGTAAGCCTCAGGCTAGGTTAGCAGCCGCTCTGAAATCTGATCCTGGAACTTGGGTGGAGGTTTCAGTTAAGCCCTGACAAGAATACACTTGAGGGACAATGGGGCCAGGACTGTCTGCCCACCAGGGATTGCTGAGCCACACGAGGCAAGCGTCAGCTGTCTCTGGCAGAGGGTCCCTCCTTGGGGAGGGTGACAGGCATGTGGCCAAGAGTCTGCTTTTCTAAGGGGCTTACTAATGGCCCCAGCTGTTCCCAGGAGAAGGACTAGAGCCAGCCCTGGATCTTTCCACAGCACAGCCTCAGGGACTAGGCTTTGAGAGGAGGAGTGGAGAGGGCGTGCTTGTATGAGTCATCCCCATAGCTCTCCTGGCTGGCAAATTCCAGCATACAGCACTCTGCTTCCTGTGGCCAACGGAGCTGAGCAAATCTACCCTCCTGCGGAATCAGTGCTGTGTTCAGAAGGAGCGGCAGGCCTGGCCCTTATGCTCGTGCACACGTAGACACACAGATATGTCAGGAGGACTGTGGACCTCTCCAGGAGAAGATGGGCCATTACCTTTCCCAGTGTAAGTGAGCAATCCACTTGGTCCCCGAAATTCCACCACATCCCCAATCTTCAGGCTGTTCAGGTACTGAGACATCTTTCCTCCTTCAGGAAATTTGGGATGGACTCCCTTCAAATAGATCTGATAAGATGCAGGACTTTACCTTATTTGGAATGTCACTGGTTTCTGAGCTCATGTCAGCTGATCCTCCCCAGGCCAGAGCACACACACTCACGTGCACATACACACACAACCGTTTCCCAGCCCACATTCCTTCCCCATGGCCGCAAAGGACAGGTCACCTTCTGCTATCAAACCAGAAGGAGTATGGCAAGGAGCCTTTAGGACTCCCTTCTATTCTCCCCTTACCTTGATGACAAGATCCACATAGCCTCGGTCTTCATCACTGGTGACAGGTGTATACGGCCTGATGACCAGGCTGCCATCGATTCGTGCAGAGAGGTACACATGCTTGCCTGGGAACAGGTGGAGAGCTGTGGAAGGGCCGCTTGGGGATGCTGTACCCCTGGGACCTTCAGAACACTCAGAGGTTTGGGACAAGGGAACCCAAGAGTGCCCTCATCAGTATTTGGTCCCCAGAGGGGCCCTCAGCAGGATCTGTTAAAGGGGATGTAATCAATGACAGCCAAAGTCTGGGAAGCAGCAGGTGAGCCGCACCTCTGGGCAGTGGGATAAAAGGTGTTTGTTGAGGGAGGGAAAAGGGGCACGGAAGAATCTTGCAGATGGCTGGGGCCCAGAGTGTGTGGAGGAGACAGACTGTGCAGCAGGTGGCCTGGGACACATCCCAAGGGCAAAGACCCTGGCAGGAGACCCGGAAAGCAGCCCACTCCACACTTCCTTACCCACAGGCAGCCCCAGGATGTGGTGGGCGGTGGGCAGGGCAAAGCGGAACCTCTTGGTGTTGTGGCTCACAGTCTGGAGGGCGGATACACAAGGATTTCACCAAGGGTCTGGTCTTGCCAAGCTCGTGGGGCCTGCCAGACACTGCGGATACTCTCCCCCTCCACACCGGAATGCTAGTTTCGCTCCCTACCACTCACCGTCTTGTCCACCAGTCGCAACAGATACTTCTCATTGGGGTCCAGAAGAGTGACCCGGGGCCGGCGGGACCTTCGAACCACATAGGTGCCCACGGCCAGGCCGAGCAGCGTGAGCAGCCCCACCCCCAGGGAGGCTAGCAGGACGGGGCTCTGTGGAGAGAGGAGCGAGTGTGACCGCCGGCGTGCGGACAGAGCCCAGGGCGTGAGAGCTGCCTGGTGTACCACCGGCTGCTCCGGTTCCCAGTGCGCAAGGCTCCTGGCATCGGAAGGGTCACCCGGGACGGGACCCGGGACCCAGAGATGCGCTGTCAGGACCCCAGCATGCAGGACAGTCCCAGAGCGCTATGGGGCACGCTCGGCGGACACAGCCGCAGGACCGCAGCTGAGTGCCCAGAACCAGGTGTGGCGGGCGTTCCCTGAGTACAGGGGTGCACCAGGGGGTCTCACCTGCTGCATGCCGATGACCCGACGCCTTGTCCTCCACCACCAGCCGGCTGACTGATCCCACAATGCGCAGCGGGGCGGGGCGGTGGCGGGGCCTGTGGGCGGAGTCACAGGAGGCAGGGCCTGGCGGGAGGCGGGGCTTCCAGGAAGGGCGGGGCCTCTCAGGGGTGGAGTTAGCGGAGACGAGCCTTGCGCCCCGCCCCTTCTCTTCTCTTCTCCGGGGTCTTTAAAAAGCGCAGCTGCCGTCTCTGCTTCCCAGCCTTGGGGTCCCTGCCACCCGGACCCTCGAACGACGGCTGATTGAAACCTCTGGCGAAGAGTACGTAGGGTTAGGGAGAGCCGGCGCAGGGAGGGGACAGGAGGGCCTGGGAGGCGGGTCTGTGCGTGTCCGGGCGGCGGGGCTGTCAGGAGGGCGCGTGTCCGGGCGGCGGGGCTGTCAGGAGCGCGCGTGTCCCGGCGGCGGGGCTGTCAGGAGTGTGCGTGTCCGGGCGGCGGGGCTGTCAGGAGTGCGCGTGTCCGGGCGGCGGGGCTGTCAGGAGGGCGCGTGTCCGGGCGGCGGGGCTGTCAGGAGGGCGCGTGTCCGGGCGGCGGGGCTGTCAGGAGCGCGCGTGTCCCGGCGGCGGGGCTGTCAGGAGTGTGCGTGTCCCGGCGGCGGGGCTGTCAGGAGGGCGCGTGTCCGGGCGGCGGGGCTGTCAGGAGTGTGCGTGTCCCGGCGGCGGGGCTGTCAGGAGTGTGCGTGTCCGGGCGGCGGGGCTGTCAGGAGGGCGCGTGTCCCGGCGGCGGGGCTGTCAGGAGGGCGCGTGTCCCGGCGGCGGGGCTGTCAGGAGGGCGCGTGTCCGGGCGGCGGGGCTGTCAGGAGGGCGCGTGTCCCCGCCATCCCACAGTGCCGGCCCTGCGGTCGTCAGGAGCATTCTAGCGCTCTGCTCTGGGTTCTTGCCCCGGCCTCTCGCTCCGCCCCGCATGACCTTGGCTGACGAAGCGTGCGGTGAGGGCCTGGAGGAGCTTCTGTCCCGCCGAGGCCCTGAGGGGAGAAGGGCTGAACCCCAGGGGTCGCGCAGGGCGGCGGCTGGAGGAACCCCAACCGTGGGGACGGGCGGGGCGAGGGGAGCAGCTTTGGAGCCCCGCCTTTGCCACACTGACCATTCCTTCTTTTTCCTTTTTTCTCCCTTCTTTATAAAATATGTATTTGAAAGGTAGCGTTACACTCAGAGAAATAGATAACAAGAGGCAAAATCTTCCACCTGCTGGCCCATTCCCTAAATGGCTACAACAGCCACAGCTGGGCTTGCTAGAAGCCAGGAGCCAAGAGTTTCTTCTGAGTCTCCCAGGCAGGTGCGGGTCCTCCACTGCTTTCCTAGGCTGCCTGGCAGCTCCCAGGGAGCTGGAAGGGAAGGAAAGCAGCCAGGACATGAACCAGCGCTCCTATGGCACTGAAGGTAGGGGATTAACTTGATAATCCACCTCATTGGCCCCTCAATATTTTTCTTAAACATATGTAATCTATCATTTAAGTAGTATAAATATGTAAAATAAAAAATTAATATAAAAATATTTGAAAATGTTTAACATTTATTCAACAAAAGTCTTTTTTGAAAACTTGGAATAGAAAAATCTTTTCAGGGCCTGGCACCGTGGCATAGCGGCTAAAGTCCTTGCCTTGAAGATGCCAGGATCCCATGTGGGCGCCAGTTCATGTCCCGGCTGTTCCACTTCCCATCCAGCTGCCTGCTTGTGACCTGGGAAAGCAGGTGAGGACAGCCCACAGCCTTGGGACCCTGCACCCGCATGGGAGACCTGGAGGAGGCTCCTGGTTCCTGGCTTCAGATTGGCACAGCACCAGCCATTGAGGCTGCTTGTGGACTGAATCAATAGATAGAGAATCCTCTTTGTAATTCTGACTTTCCAATAATAAATAAATAAATACATAAATAGAAATTTTAAAAGAAAATACTGAGTCAGCATTGCTTTCTTGGAACAAATTCTCTTTGACTGATTTATTATTCACTTTTTCTGGGCTCCTGCTTTTTGTACCATCTTCACCTGTTTTCATTTGTTAACTGTGTTGTTCAAATCAAGATCCAAATAAGGTCTATACACGAAAACCTATTGCTGTGTTAGATTCCCTTCTTCCTTCATATTTGTCCTCCTTTTACCCCTCAAGTATTCATTTACTGGAGACATAGAGGCCTGTGCTGAGTGTGGGGTGACTCTGAGTAAATATGGGAAGGCAGGTTGTGGTCACCCTTGAACGCCAGTACTCCTGCTCAGGTGGGGTATGTACGAGGTGGGGTGGCATCTGTGAAGATTGTGGCAGGAACACATCAGATTTAGAGCAATCATTGTGTAGAACAAGAAGGGAAATGTGAATATCTGCTGTGAGGTCCAAGATGATGGGGGTGAGAATGGATTCCAACCCACAGGTGCTAACAAAGGAATCCAAGGCAGGAGGTGGAAGTTGGATGATGGGGTAGTGTGGAGATAACAAGTGGGGAAGCCATGAGAAAAGCACTTGCTAAGTACCTGTCACTTTAGGCACCATGGGAGCAGAGCTCTGTAAGGTATACATCCTCTTTCAAGGATTATGTAGTCTGGGGGGTCTCATATTTTCGGAAAAGAGACCCCTTCTAGAACCCTCACTGTTTTGAAAACAAACATCAGGTATAACCTCCATTCTCCCCCACCAGGAAGGTGCTTCCTAGCTACTATGTCTTCTTCCTCATGCAGTGACAGATTCCAGCTGCTTGCTACTCTTCAGCCAGTCTTTTGATTTCCTTTTCTTTTTTGAAGAGTATTTATATATTCGAAATTCAGAATTTAAAAAAAAAAAGAAAGAAAAAATTACAGAGAAAGGAGATAGATGCAGAGAATTTTTTTTTTTTAAGATTTATTTAGTGGGTCCATTATGATGGTTCATTGGCTAAATCCTTATCTTGCAAGCACCAAGATCCGGTTTGCACCAGTTTGTGTCCCAGCTGCTCCACCTGCCATCTAACTCTTTGCTTCTTGCCTGAGAAAGCAGTGGAGGATGGCCCAAAGCCCTGACACCCTGCACCCATGTGGAAAACCTGTAGGAAGCTCTTGGCTCCTAGTTTCGGTTTGCAGCTACTTGGAGAGTGAACCAACAGATGGAAGATCTTTCTATAAATCTTCCTTTCCAAAAAAGATTGATTGATTTATTTGGAATGTTTCTTTTCTTAAAGGTTTATTTATTTATTTTTATTGGAAAGGCAGATTTACAGAGAGGAGAGACAGAGATCTTCCATCTACTCAAAGAGCTGCAATGGCTGGAGTGGGGCTGATCCAAAGCCAGGAACTTTTTATGAGTCTCCCATGTGGATGCAGGGAGCCGAGCACTTAGACCATCCTCTGCTGCTTTCTCAGGCCATTAGCAGGGAGCTGGTTTGAGAATGCAGCAGCCAAGACTCAAAGCAGACTCCTTTGGGATGTTGGCATCACAGACTGAGGCTTTACCCACCAAGCCCCAGGGCCAGCATATATCTTCCAGTTTCCGGAGCAGTCTTGCTCTCTGTCTCTTTGTGGTTTTTGAGAATGTTATTTCTTTTGCCTAAATCAGTTTTCTCCCATCCTTTATCCACACATCACTCAGGCTATACTAATTTATAGCTTACAGCTTGTTGTCAGTCAAGTGCTGCAATGCCTCCTTGCCCCCACCGTTCCTGCCCGCTATTGTGCATGTCCTATAGAACCTCCTTCCTTTAAGTGCAGATTGCTCTGTAGCTTAGGATGAGCTATCATTGCTTAGAAGGTACGATCTAAAGCTTGGTTTGAGTGGACTGTGAGATTTTCCTACTGGATTTGAAGAAGTTGATTGTCACGCTGTGGGGGCCTTGTGCCTAGTTCCCTGTGGAGCTGAGTGGGAACTCTTGGATGACAGCCAGCAAGAAAACAGGGACTTCAGCCTTCAGTTATAGGGAAGTGCACTTTCCAGCAGCCTGAATGAACTTGGAGGAAGAATCTGGGCCTGGGTAGATTGTAACCCCGTGAATATACACATCAGGTGAGACCCCGAGTAGAGGTCCCAGCTTAGCTGCCCATGGAATGTGTGAAAGTCATGCAGGAATATTATTTTCAGAACTCCTACTCCTGAGTGTATATCAGTACATACAGTGTATATCACTATGTTGAAGAACTATCTACATTCCGGTGTCCACTGTAGCTTTATTTATAGTAGTTGAGGAGCCAGCATTGTGGTGCTTCAGGTTAAGCCACTGCCAGCAGTGCTACCATTCCCATATGACCATGGGTTCAAGTCTCAGCTGCTCAACTTCCAATCCAGCTTCCAGCTAATGCACCTGGAAAAGCAACAGAAGGTGGCCCAACTACTTGGACCTTTACACCCATTTCGGAGACCTGGATGGAGTTCCAGGCTCCTGGTTTCCCCCTGCTTAGCCCATGGCCATTGTTTGGGGAGTGAATCAGCAGATGGAGGATCTCTCTGTGTCTCTTCTTCCATGTGTGTCTCTCTGCCTTGTAAATAAATAAGTAAATCTTAGCAATTAAAAAATTAGCATAGATGTGAAGCTCACCTAAGTGTTCATCAATGGACGAATGGATGGAGAAAGTGAGGTTTATGTACACAGTGGGTACTATTCAGTCTAAAGAAACATAATCCTATTATTTATAACAATGTGGGTAAACCTAGAGGATATAATATTGAGTGAATCAGGCATGCACAGAAAGAAAAACCTCATGATTTCACCAAATGTAAAAACCTGAAGCTGTTGATTTCATAGAACTTAGAGGAGAGTGTTCGTTACCAGAGGCCAGGGTGATGGGAAGTAGCAGAGGGAGGTTGGGGAGGCATTGGCCAAAAGACAAAGATTTTGGTTCCATAGGTCAGGTAATTCCACAGATCCAGTGTCTCCCATGCTGACTATAGTTAATAATAGTATGAGGGAACTGTAAGACATTTGTGGAAAATGGTGTTAAAAGATAAGTTCAGTTTGGTACAAAGTGATTTTAAAATATGCCTAGTATGCAATGTACATGACCTTTTTGGATGTAAAACATCAAAATGTTTGTAGGCTGAGTATGCCTTTTACAGCTTGCAGCCATGTCAGGCCA